ATTATAATTAATTTTCAGTTTAATAAAGTTGAAGTTCTTATTTTAATGAGAAGAAAGGTTGAAGAAGCTGCAATAATATTCATTAATTTTTTTTGTAAAAATACTTCCGATAGCCAACGGACTTCTTGGTCCACAGTAAATGGAACTTAATGGCAAATCCGTCGTCAAACCGTGGGAAAATGTATTTTAATTATTATTTTAAAATATAGGATTTAACACATGTATTTAAAATACTTATAGAAAAAGTATTTTAAATACAAAATACATTTCCATTTTGTCGTTAATTAAGTCAAATAATTGTGATTCTCATAGTTTGTGAAATGTCTAAACGCACCTTTAGGCGTCTGGTGCGAAATTTTACTAAGTACCCTCATTATACCCTTCCAAATTGACCATTTGCTTATGTTCTTATGTTTGCGACTTATACCTCCTATTCTACTTAGAAATGACTTGCACTTTTATCGATACTCGATTAATTTCGAATTTTTAGTCAGTTTATATTAAAAATTGCACCTTTTTTAAGAATATTACATAATTTTTATATATTTTTGCGCCATAGACTTTAAGGATGATATGCGTCCTGTTGCAAAGTACGAAGAAAAATTTTCCCGTATCAAAAAATTTTTGTGAACACTCGTACGGAGCCGAAAAATTAGTTTCAGATTGAATTTGTTTAATATCACGAATAAATAAAGCTTTTGAGGGAAACGTTAGCATTTTTCATGTCTTGAGAATAATAGACGTTTCCCACCAAGATTAGGAATCATATTCATCCTTCAACAGGAAATACTTATCGCGCTTCACAACATATCTCGTTTCTTTCTAAACCAACACTTCATTCAAATATATTAAAAAGAATTAGAGGAGGTACTTAGGGATCGTGTAACTAAAAATATTTGTCCAATTTTAGAAAGTGTAAAAGACAACTTTATGAGGGTTAAGTACAACAGAAATAAAACGTAATAAGTGATCAGTGACATATCCGGACCATTTGAGATCCAAGGGCTCTAAACAAAATATATATATATATATATATATATATATATATATATATATACTATATCGAAATGCAGACTACCAATAAATATGATTCTCACATATTATTTGTGTAACCCTTGTTCAAATTTTAATAAAATTAATTGACTAAATTGACAAACTAGAGTATCAACCTTAAAATTAAAATAAATGTTTTTCATCAAGAATGATTATTTAAGGCTGTTTTCAAATATAGTACATTATTGACTTTAAATAACACGATGTTTGTATTTTAAAAAACCTGTTAACAGGATAACATTTATTAAGATTTTCCTTTTAATCTAAAATTCTCAAAATGCTCCCTTAAACTTAAAAATAGAAAACGTTTTTTTTCTTTTCTTTTTTTTTGGTTGGCTCAAGACTTCTATTGAAGTCCTATACTGCTCATATTGTTAGATTATCAAAAGGGTACTGAATAGATGGATGTAAATTATTGCAAAAGTCAATTCTACATTCATCTATGAATATGCATACTGAATGAATCATATCTCTGCCCTAATCTATCAGCCCTTGGGGTATAACGATATCGTTTAGAATGAAGGGATATATTTTCCGCTACCTGTCATATTTGCTGCATTTCTGTATAATATGTAATGGGTCCTCAATGAAGTCATAACCATTTATATATTTGTTTGGCCCATAATTTGTGAAATGTCTAAACGGACGTTGATACCTAATTATTTAAATAAAATATAGAGTTATAAAACTACAGTAAATGTATTTAAGGCTATAAACATATGTTTTATACATCCATGAAATATCTTTACTTTCACTTACCTATATATTTAATATATAGTAAGGGAATGTATTGTAAATTTCGAATTTACACGTTTTGAGGTATCCTAAGTCCAAATAACCAACTCCCGCAAAATGATCTGTGCGTGTGATATAAATGATATTACGTATTTATGATAGATATATGCCTTAGATGTGATAGCAACTTTTTCCTTAAAATCGGCTAACCGGAAGTGCCACTTTATATCAACGGTGAAACACACTTTTACAATTTTCTCAAAAACTGCTCTAGCTATTTTGATTTAACTCGTGTATCATTGTATAATTAAGTGATTTTCAATATCATTTAGGTCTTATTCCCATTGATGTCACTTTACAGGGCTTAAATGGCCTATGTTCATATACATCTTCCTCTACACTACTTTTAATATGGTTTATTTAAAAAATTAACACTCTTTTATAGACAGTAACTATAAAAAATGGCTAAATATGATGTTTGAAAGAATGTGATAATTGGAAACTGGAGAAATAAAGAAAAATGCTTATCCAGGTTGAATATGAATCTCCGGAAATAACAGTCAGAAGTTATCGTTGGAAAGCGGAGAATTTTAGAAAAAATAATATCAAATAAATAAAGTTGTAGAAGGTAACGGAGAGTGACGAAAAAATATAAATAACAATTTCAGAAAACCAACATCATATAACGTAAATCGCATGTTTCCAAGATAATTAAATGAAATTTCTTACTAAATTTTCTGTTTTCCATTTTTTTTCTAAGTTTGAAAAAAGTATTTAAAATTCACCGAATCAAGCCTATGCCATTGTTTAAAAATACTATTTCATTATACTTGTGTGAAAGAAGAAGTGAAATATAAAAATGTTTCATGGATATGTTCATAACCTTACATGCATTTATTGTAGTTTAATAACTCTAGATATGATATTATGTTTAAATAATTAGGTTCTATTAGCTGTTTATTTAAAAAAATCATCAAGTAACCTTTTAGAAAATTAAATTAGTGAATATTTGATGAATTTTCAATTTATGAAATCCCAACATTATCCACTTACAATCAGTGTGACAACTTTTGACCTATCCGTGACAGGCAAGGAAAATCTCGTAATTTCATTTTAGTAATCTTTACAATAGAAAATAACAGTTTAATAACTAACAGTCCTAGAATCCATAATCATTTATAGATTAAATATTCAGATGTACTTTCAAATATCTATAGGCATATATGAGCCCTTTGTTTGGCAGAATGATTTACTCCAATTTCAACATTCCTTGTTATTAATTTTATTGATGTTTCCAGGGGTAAAATTTATTCACAGTTCTATATTTCAACACCGCACTCACCTAATCTGGAATCAACTTTCTCACTGTCTGTATAAATATAACTTTTCCAACTAGAATTATCACTAATATGACATTACTCAAAAATGTTGAAATTGGAGTTAGTCATTCAGTCAACTGAAAGTTATGTGATTCATAAAAGCAGATGGAGTAACTAGATTTTTATTTCCTATCGAATAAATAAATAGAGTAATAATAAATAGAGTATTTGTAATTTTAATGGTCTTAATGATTGGTTATCTGTAAGCTTTAAGCTTTAGCTCTGTTCAAATGCACTTCAAAAATTTTATAATAGCCCAACATTGCCATAAAATAATTTCTATTCAAAGTAGAGAGGTAAGTGAAAGTTGTGGGTTGCGCGCACCAGATTTTTATATTTCAATTCTTCTTTCATATAAGTACTATGAAATAGTTTTTTTGACTATGCCATTGCTTTGATTAGTTGGATTTCAAATACTTTTTTCAAACTTAAAAAAAGCTAACAGTTAGTAAATTTCATTTAATTTCCTTGAAGACGTGTAATTTTCGTTAAATAATGTTAGTTTTCACAAATTATTATTTATAATTTTTCTTCACCCTCCATTACTTTCTAAAACATTCTATATTAGATATTGTTTTTTTGTAAAATTCTCCATTTCCAACGATATATTATACATATACCTTCTTACTAGTATTTCCGAAAATTGGTTGATTGTTTTGATGTTATAGGCGCAAAACATCCAGGTTATCCGCGCCTTAACAATAAAATATTTAGCTGGTAGGTTTAATGGGAAAAAAATTAAATAAATTTAAAATATATATATAAAGGAAAACAAATTAAAGAAAAGAAAAAGATAAATAGAAATTATTATTATAGCTCCTGAAATTCATTTCCGGAATTTCCGGAAATTCATTTTCGACCTAAATAAACATTTTCCCTTTTTTTTCTTCATTTTTCAATTATCAAATTCTTCCAAAATTATATTTAGCATTTTTTCGTGACTCTTAATAATGAGAAATATTTAATTATTCAAAATAAACCAAACTAAAGGTACTTTAGAGGCAGACATGTTTATGAACTTTTAAGCCCTGTAAAGTTACATTAATGGGGACAAGACCTCAATGATATTAAAGGCTACTTAATTATACAATGATACACCGAGTTTAATCAAAATCGTTGCAGTCGTTTTTGAGAAAATTGTAAAAATGTGCATAACCGTTGATATAAAATGCAACTTCCGGTTAGTCGATTTTAACAAAAAAGTTGCTGTCACATCCAATGCATACATCTATATTAAATACGTAATATTAGTTTCATACGACTTTTCGTTTTTTAACTAGACTTACGACATACATACATGCACACACACACATACACTCAGACCATTTTGGGAGACTTGGTTATTTAGACTCAGGGGACCTCAAAACGTGCATTTCCGTTGAAAACTCAGATTCGAAAATTTTCTCGATCGCAATATTTTCCCTTACTAGATATTACATATATAAGTAAGTGAAAGTAAAAATAAATGTTTTAAAATGTTGCTGGTATAATCCATACTACTGAAAATTACCTAATCGTAAAAATATCACTATAATAATAAATAATTTAAGACTGTCAGTATTTTTTTAAATTTTAATTATACAAATTAAAATAACGATTAATCAGAGTTTTTGTCTAGTAAACAATAATTTCATATTTGTTCAACAATCGTTTGAATTTGAATTAAAAACCCGCCATTTTTCAAAGGTTAACTAAGCTGAATATCTTGCATGCATTTTTTTTTCTATAAGTACTACAACAAGAAAAAAATTTTCAAAAGTAAAACAACTTTAGTTTTTTTAGCTACTTGGTAGAAATGAATTTGTGCCCTACATGCACCTGATGCTTCTACATGGAACACTTCACGCCCATCAAGGGAAGGTATTTGTCATTCAGTATTTGCCAGCTGGTGTGGAAGGATGTGTTAAGTATAATTTAGTTGTTTTCTCCCATGAATGTTAACGAGATTTATTAAGCTGACCGACGGGATCTCATCTCGCTGTCGGGTGTGAAAAAACTTTTTACAATTACCAAGTGTTATCTGTACAGTGTTGTGATTTTAGATTGAAAACATGTTCAGCTGGCTAACTAGAGATGAAAGCAAGCACACAGACATTTACGACAGTGTGGTTGAAGGTCTTAAAAGAATTTACAAACAGAAGCTCCTACCATTGGAATTGGCTTATCAATTCCATGACTTTCATTCCCCACAATTAGATGAACCTGATTTTGATGCTAAGCCTATGATATTGCTGGTTGGACAATATTCCACTGGTAAAACAACTTTCATTAAATACTTGTTAGAAAGAGATTTTCCTGGAATAAGGATAGGCCCAGAACCAACAACTGACAGGTTTATAGCTGTAATGTACGATGAAAAAGAAGGCGTCATTCCTGGTAATGCCCTAGTAGTGGACCCTAAGAAACAATTTAGACCTTTGACAAAATTTGGAAATGCATTTCTTAACAGATTTCAATGTTCTACTGTTAATTCAAGTGTACTCAAAGGCATCTCAATTGTTGATACCCCTGGAATCCTTTCAGGAGAGAAGCAGAGGGTTGATAGGGGTTATGATTTTACCGGTGTTTTAGAATGGTTTGCTGAAAGGGTAGACAGAATTATTCTCTTGTTTGATGCTCATAAACTTGATATATCTGATGAGTTCCGTAGGTCCATTGAAGCATTGAGAGGGCATGATGATAAAATAAGGATTGTTTTAAATAAAGCAGATATGGTTGATCATCAGCAGCTGATGCGCGTTTATGGTGCTTTAATGTGGTCTTTAGGTAAAGTGTTACAAACGCCTGAAGTTGCAAGAGTATATATTGGCTCATTTTGGGATCAACCGCTGAGGTTTGATACAAATAGGCGGTAAGTTAATCAAACTTACATCTAATAAATTTTTTACTGTATATTTTTATAACTTATTTTCTGATTAATTTTTGTATTGATATTTGTTACAATAATGATTTTCTATATTTATCATAATTATTTACTCTTAAAGATTTAAGTGTTTTGTCATTTATATCTTGTAAAACATTGGCACCATTCAATAAAAATAAAAGAAATCTGCAAACCATGGTAAAATGGATTAGTTTCATTTTATGCAATCTCTATTTAAGCAACAAGCTCCAGAATATTGTTTAGAGAAAGTGTTCTGTCTTTAACTTCAATGATTTATAGACTTTTTATAGTTCTTGATATTAATAATTTCATTAATATCATTGAATATTCATCTTCATAGCTGTACTACCCATTTTAAATAGCTTGTCATTGTTTGTTGTTTAAAAGTAGAAAAAACAGACAATTTCTTATGTTTTATTATCTTTTTTTTATGAACAAAATTTTCTCTTTATTATTGTTTGCTGTTCTAATTTTGTTTTTTTAATCCATTTCTTATAGCTTTTACAATTTACTAAAAGGTCACATAATCATGTTTTATATTTTTATTTCAGCTAAAAGGTGTTGAAATTTATGTGTAATAAATTTCAATTTTAACATATGAATTTTTATATATCTGCAGGCATGACCGTATCTATAATTATTTTATGTGTAGTGGGTGAAGTATTACAGCCAAATAATTGTTCAATTTCTTTTTTCTTGATGTTTTAAAGAGATTCTGTTATGAGTAATTAATACCACTCAGTTTATATGATATAAAAGCTAATTTGTAAAGATCAAATCATGTTTTGTCCAGTTTACAATGATTAATTTTTACTTCAACTATACTTAAATAATTGTGCTATGGTCAATTATTATTAGTCAAATCACATCACATTTTATAATAAATTTTCAGTGTAAACAAAATTAATAATTTACTACATGATTATTTTCTCTAAATAATTATTTCTAAATTCTTACCAATTCTTTGATAAGTATTTATTATTTTAAAAACAAAGTACTGTGTACGTACATTATCTTTGATTGGTAGAGAGTATCATGACTAAAAGTGCGAGGAAATAAGTATTAGTGTATACCAAAATTTTTCTAACCATCCCTTAAATGAAGAGAGAAACACTTTATTTTCATAAAATATAAAGGATTGCTGCCCAATTATATTGGGTTGCTATATACACAGCATACTCTTCTATCCTTAGGACAATATATGAACAGAAAACAAATAATTAAAGAAAAAACTTTGATAAATCTATGTTGAATTCTAAATCATAGTTTCAAAAATTTATTGTGAACATTAGCCTATTGATTTTCATTATATCCGTTATCATTTATTTATAAAATATATGATTATTCTAGATTGTAAGATTTTTTTCATATTACTATATTTATGCAAGTTTTCTGTTTATAATTTAATGTTAATCAAATCAGAATGATGGTTAGACTTGATTTAGAAGAAAATCACAAGTTAAACCATGGGTGGGAGTTTTAACAGGAAACATCAGTTAAGAGTAATCATAAGTACTATTTTGTGTCTTACAGTCAAAATTATGATTTAGGACAAATTTTAGGACATTCATTATATTTGATTAGGTCCTTTAATATTGACAACAAGCGAGTTCATTTTAGGTGAATTATGACAAAATAAACTGATCACTTATTTTAAATATTTAATTATTGATTACAGTTTATTAGGTTTATTTATGACTGATCTTTTTTTTTTTTTAAGTAAACAAATATATTGTTGCTCACATTTTTTAAAATTTTAAATAACCAATAATATTCGCTCTAGGGACAGGCCTAAACCACATAAAGATTGAGCTGTAAAACTTACTTGGCTTCTGAAATTATTTTTATTAATAGAGTAGAGCTAATTATTATTCTTCAGTCCTTCATAAACCAAAAGTTACTAACTAAAATAATAAAATTGGTATTCCTCTTCAAAGAAGTTCGATTAATGTTTTTGAATCAAATTATTGATACTCCTGGTTTATAATTTAAAATTTCTTAATAATGATCAATTTAAATATTAATACTGTTTTTTCATTTTCCACATAGTTACCATGCTGCTAATACTGTTTGATAAATTTCGTATTAATAATAAATCATTATCACTAAAAATACATTTTATTCTTCAAGATGTAAATTAATTTCTAACATGATTAAATATCTCAATTCTACCCCCCAAAAAATAGAATTAACTATGTTACATTAACTTAGTTAAAAACCATGGGTTTGATTAAAATTAATAAACCCACAATCTAAAGAATTAAAAATACACATTTCTTAATAATAAATTATCACTTACTAATTAACAATCATATATAAGAAAAAATACTTAATGCTAATAATTTTTTTTCATTTTAATGCATTAATCTTAATTTATTATGCGAATCTGTTAATTCTATTTTTATCAAATGAAATATTGTATATATCACTTGTTTTATATGGATATAACAAATAATGGATGTATTTTTAGGCCAACTATACACTTAATTAAATGCAAGATTATTAAACTAAGTAATAGTAGATTAATGATTATTGGAACAGTTATTTTCAATAAATGATTGTATTTTTCAACCGGGATCAGTAGAAAAAAAAAAAAGCTGATTTATTTTTCAGTTTTATAACTTCTTAAAAATTTCGTTCTAACTATATCTCCAACACTTAAATATAAATAAGAAAAGGATAAAAATTAGTCAGGATGTGCAGTCAAAAAAGTATGTTTATTGAGTTTGCCGACTTTTTGTCTAGCCTTCAAACCAGATTGCCTCAATGAACCTACATAACACTGGTATAGCCATATGTGAGTCTTGTTCCATGGTTTGCTGTTACTCTGAGACTCAAGTTACAAAATATAGTGCCGATTGTAAAACTGAACGAACCTCGGGTTCATCAATAAATATCTTATGAAAATTAAACAATACAGAAATTGTAAAGTCTGAAAATAGACATAAGACCCACGGCACACATTATTTAGATGCATGAAGTATGAAAGAGAATATGAATTAGCACCGGAGAAAGGCACAAAATTTTGAAATAACTTGGGAAGAAAGAAGATCAAAAAGATTGAAATATTGTTTTGTTTTTTAAATAAATAATGTAGAATTTACTTTAGATGGAAATTTGTAAATGTACACATATTTCTTTAAAAATGTATATTGACAAGAATAAGATTCGCAGACTTGATGTTTATTTGTAACTATAAATAAAAAAGAATACAATAAATTATGTGCATTTATTGTACCTATTTTAGACACACAATAAGGTTGATGTTACTTTGGTCTAATAAATGAGTTATCACCAGTGCTGCTTAGGACGGAGCAATCAGGGCAATCGCTCCGCAGTGCCGGCTGATATTCATGGGTGCTCCCTACTTGTTATAAATATAAATAAAATACAAAACATATTAAAATAATTCATTTTAGCCTATCAATAATGCAGCTGTATTAGAGTTATGTTGAATGAAATAAAATTCAAATCTTACATAATATAAAACAGCTTAGGAAATAAATTTACTTTTTTAGGGGGAGGGTGATATCATTGCCCGGGGCCGGCACTGGTTATCATATCAATAAATTTGATAAAAATTAACTATATATGACTTAGTGACTTTCTGTGATAAACCAGTATATTAAATAAAAATAATATCTAGGTACCATATATTTTAATCAGCCATATTACATTTTTATATATATTTTATATTGGTATTAATCCTACAGGTTGTTTGAGGATGAAGAACAGGATTTATTTAGAGATTTACAATCTCTTCCACGTAATGCTACGCTTCGAAAACTTAATGATCTGATTAAGAGAGCTAGGCTAGCTAAGGTAATTATACTAACATTGTTGTTCTATAACACCTAGGTTACACTGGCACTATTTCAGGATATTTGTTTTTTTTTTTAGCATTTGCTTTATAATTTTTACATACTATGTTAAATTATTGCTCTTTTTTATGTATCTAAAAACAAATGGATTTAAAACAATTTTATAATTTTTTTTTTATACCTTTTACAATTTTTCTGATAAACTTCACCTCTTGATCTTTATGCTGGCCACTTTAAATCAGCTCATAGTTATCACATTAGAAACCCTTCCTATTATTGATTCATGTACACATTTTTATATATATATTATAATCATTATTATTTGTAGATCTTGGAATTACCTAGTAGTAAAGATAATTAGCAATTTAATTTTCACTAGCAAGTTAATGTTACCTGAGTTGTGATTTTTATTAATTAAAAAGTAATTTAATTCATTATAGTCTCAAAAATAATCATGTGAATTTATTAATAATTAAAATTAGCTATCTATTTAATTATCAAAATTAATACAATATCTTAATTTGTTTTTCAAATATGATTTTTTTGAAAGCGGAGTTGATTTATAGCTACGAGACATGATGAATATTGATGTATTTTTTTAATAGATCATTTTTTGACAGGATCTATTTTTGAATATTTAAGAAATATTAAAGAAATCTTGAAAGATTCTTATTGAGAAAAATTATATTCTTAACAAAGATTTTTATTTAAATTATTAATTAATAATATTACTATGTAGTTCCTAAAATGAAATTTCAGTATTTGTTCATTTTTACATCAGTAATAACTGCTTCACATTTTGAGTCATTTATAATTTTTTTTGTGTGTGTAAACAACTATGTATTTAATTTATTAGTGTACAGATAATTTTATAATAAATTGAATAATTGTTCAAATATATATATATTCTTTATGTTACTATGATGTAATTGTGCCTCTTATTCTGTTGAATTTAAACTGATGTAGGGCAAGCTTTATCTAGAAGAGACTCAATTTCCTCTGAACTATTTCTTTTCAGCTTTTGATAGCTGGATCAGCAAAACATTTACTTTACCTTAACATTTTCAAAATGAAATAAACTTTTATTACTAATACAAAATAAAACATAAATTCTCATTTTTAATTTAATTGTATGATTTTAAATCCAGAAATTTTTAATTCAGTATGATTTAATATACCTTGAAACATCTCAATTTCATTCAAGTTTTTCACAGTATATGTGTAGATTTAAAGCCGACCCTATAGATTCATTAATTTACATTTGAATTATGAATTGGGAACTCCTTGAATTATTGATTTGAAATTTTTAGTTTCAATTTAAGTTGGCTTATTATTCATCTAGGTATTATTTTCAGATGTTAACAAGAAACTAAATGAAAAATAACCAATTTTTGTATTATTATTTTAATATTAATGATAATATTGAACAGTAAAGATATATATATATATATATATATATATATATATATATATATATATATATATATATATATATATATATATGATACTAATATTAATGATAATTGTAGTGTCTTTACTGTTCAATATTATCATTGAATATAATTTTGAATAAATTTTAATTTTAGGCTATCAGGGAGGTCATGGGGCAAACAATTTGCCCATCTATTAAACAATCTCAGTAGCATTGGAAGTTACTACATTACTAATTATTTCATTAAATGTATTGCTTCATTGATTATTAGCTCATCAATTTGTGCAACGCCAGATGTCACATATATTAATAAAACCCGTGAATTACAGGTTTTTTACTGTTTTATTGGTTTATCATAAGAAAACAACCATTAATGTTAATACATGAACAGAAAATGTATATATATTTAGCTGGTAATAACAAGAATCAAACTCATGTAAAAATAATTTAACTGGTAGCCTTGACATATAAAGATAAGTTTGTCTAAATTTTTTAAATAAACTGAAGTAATTATTTTCTCATTTCTTACCTACCATTGAATTTTTACTTAAACAAGTAACTGTGTTGAACATGATACTAAAAAAACTTTTAAAGAGACTAGTTTCTTTTTTAGTTCATGAATATTTTATATTAATTATTGTCTTTGAGCAGTATCGATAATTTATAGAAACAAATTTTGTGTTTTCCTTTTTCTCTATATTTTGTCTTGATCTACAATATATTTGGGAATATATTAGGGATTTTGTATGATCTGGAAAAATCAGGGATCAGTTGTAAATTCTTAACTTTAATAACATCTCTAAAATTTCAAGTTAAGGATAACTAATTTTGACAGTTAAAAATATGAAAGGGACTTGTCAGAATGTTTTTATCAAATAGATACAGATACAGAGCTTAGTTTTTTTATTAATGTAATGCTAGGCATATCAATTCTAAGTCACATTTCACTCCAAGAAGAACTTAAGAACTCAACATTACCTTCTGCCATTTTGTTTCAAGATGGCAACTGAAAGGAAAGGCTATCTGTTTTTAAATAATTTATTACTGTATGTTTGCAAAAATGGTTCTAACATTTTTTCCAAAATATTCTTGAAAAATTCAGGAATTAGTCAAGGATTTTTGAAAATTTCAATTACCGAAATCGGTTAACATCTTGTAGATATAATTTATTATATTTATATATCGCATTACTGGATAAACTGAATAAAAATAAGACTTAGCGAACCCAAAATTTCAGTGCAACTGATATCAGTACACTGTCTTCATACTTTCATCCTCCATTCAAATCCAGCTCACCTTAACGCAATTGTCCCGCCTTTGCTTCACTCTACCCCTCACACAGAATAAACTGAAACATAATTTATATAAACTCTGCCTCTTTTTAGGTTCATGCATATATCATTAGCTCTTTGAGGAAAGACATGCCTTCCATGTTCGGAAAAGATGGCAAGAAGAAGGAATTGATCAAAGGTCTAAATAGCATTTACGAGAATATTCAAAGGGAACATCAAATATCACCAGGTGATTTTCCAGACATAAGGAAAATGCAAGTTAGTATCGATAGTTTAGTTTTTCTTGAAAACATTATTTTTAATGGGCTTGGAGATGTTTTTTAATTATTCTTGGCTAAAATAAGTAAATCTTTGATTCTGTTTTTTTATTCATTATTATTATTTTTGAACAATATCCATTAGGTTTTTTTTTCTTTCTAAAACCCATTTTTAATTTCTTGTTTTTTGATAATTTGTTCCCGAAAGTATTTCTGTGAAATTACAATTGATAGTTTTTCAGTACATAATTTCTTGATTTAAAAGTATAAAATGGAATCAAATGACTTACTGAGATTGATATTAGATTATAGCTGTAGAAATTGGGCATCTGGGGTGTAGCTATTAGTGACTGAAAAAAAAAATAGTTTTATTTTAACTTGGAAAGATCTTAGTATGTAATTAATAAAAAATTGTCCAATTAATTAAAGATGGCATTTGGTTTTAACTTATATATCATTATATATAAATTCTAACTCCATTTTTTACTAAAATAAGTTAAGTATCAAACTGGATGAATTTCTTCATGGCTTATTGAGTGGTTACCATGCATACGACAAATCTATGTTCTCAAGATGCTATGAATTATAAGGAGGCCATAATTTTTTTAAGTTTTGAGAATTTAGTTAGATGCTGGTTATAATTTATATGACGATATGTTAAATTCACTATGTCATCAGATGATGTCATGATAATTAAGAAAAAAAAGTAATATATAAATTTTCAACCTCCCTCCCAGAATCTTGAGGTAGAGACAATTAATGAACAACTATATTTTAATGATGTTTCGAGACTTCATTGTTCTCATATTGTTGCCCTAAAAAAAATTGTAGAAAATTTTTCCAAAAAATAATTATTGCATACTAAAATTACAAATAATGCTAAATTATGATATAGAAATCTAGTGACAAAATAGTACTTACAGTTGTCTAAAATTTATATTTAACTATCATATAAACCGTAAGCTATATTGAACATATTTAATAAAAGACTCAACAATGACAAAAGTCAGATGTAAGATATTAGCAGAATTTATTTGGTTTGCCTAGACCTCGCGATAATATAAGGTACTACATACAATATAATCATATTTTATATAATATAATATATGCCATACCATAAGGGGATAACTTTTTTATCATTAGAAGCCGCAGTAAGATTAGGCAGTGCTAATGGAGGGCGCAACAATTATTTATATTTTACTGTGGCTATTTTTATTTATCGCTAAATATACACACTCTTATTCGTATAATTAACTTGATTCTATTAATTTAAAAAATTCCATAAATTAAATATTAATAAATATTCTGCAAAAACATTTGTAGGCCGCAACTACGTCACATGTGGCCTAAGGGCTGCGGGTTCCCGACCTATGTACTGTAAAACAGTTATAAATTGCCCACCAGAGAATACTGGAAAAATTATAGGTCTGGGCAAACCAAATAAAGATAATATTATCCTGAGTTGGGGCTGCCGCTGCAGCTGTCCTCTTGTTAGGCCTGCATGCATTCCTATATTTGTTATCTATTTTTTTATTTTTAAAGTTAAAATCATGTATAATTAATATTTTAGGAGGTATTACAAAACCACGATTTCACTAAGTTTCAAACTATTAAACCCCGTCTTCTTGAAGTTGTTGATAAAATGTTGGCTGAAGACATATCAAAATTAATGGCACAAATTCCTCATGAGGATATTGTTTCTGCCCCCTCAAATCTGTCTGGTAAGTCAAAAATACAATGTTTTTGTTTTATTTGTCTTATGTATTTCAAGTTTTTATTTATTTATTTTTATTGAAAAAAATGTACCAAAATCAAATGTGTTAAGCATCCTATGTAAATAGAGAATTGTTGTTGTTAAAAATTAAATTGTTTAGTGATATACTGATATCACAAACATAATTTTTTTTTTTTTAAATCTAAGCTGAGGTGTGTTAAATGGTTAGTCATTCAGTTTTGATCTATGTTCATGGCGACCTAAATCTACTATTTTAACTTATCTGGATACTAGTGTTAGATTATCAATAATATTTAAAAGAAAAAAATATCTAATGTAATGCAAATGTAGGAAGGCGAAGAAGTATTGACCTGAATGCCTGGAATTCCCGATTTGTTGATTACCAAGGTCAAGGTACAGTAAATATGATTTTTAGTTTATCAACTAACGAGGATACTGTTGGTTTGTTCATTAGTTGGGGAATTAGCTTTTGTTTTGTTTTTGCAGTGAATGTTAGGTGATGATAATTGGCATATGTCTGAATGTCTTTAAATTTTGTTATTAAAGAAATATCAAAATATGTTTGTGTAATGATAATTGTTTATCATATGGATGAGTATACCAAAAAAAAATATAAGCTTACATCACAGCATTCTAACTCTGTTAACTGCTTTGACTATGAAGTATGCCATATTGTTTAAGTGAACTATGATAGTTGATACATTTGGATTACAACCCTTTGTTTAGCTGCAACATTACTAACATTCTGAAAAGATACCTATTTTAGTGTATTATAATTCATAATTTAGACATGCTTCCTCGAGATGTTTTATTTTTATGTTGGTTTTCAGCATATTTTTTATTCTTTATATTCATTAAGTTTGGTGTTTAATATCTCAGTTGCTGTCTAAAATAATGAATTAGTTGAAAAGACAAAAGAAACAACATTTAACTAGGAAAGGGAGTTAATAACTTGTATTGTATTGCACTTTTTGTTTTTTATTTGAAACTATCCATAATACAATTTTTTTCAGGAACCTTATTTTTTTATTAGAAAAAACGTTATTGTAAATCAATTAAAACTTTTGGAGTTACATAGCCCAAAAACTACCTATGTATTTAATCAAAATTGAAAGTCTTTATTTATATCTATGGACACTTTTGTCGTAATCCCGTATTTGGGTACATAATCTCTGAAATTTCAAGATAAGAAAATGTGTACATCACCACAACCACTATTTTTTTTTTTTGTTAACTTTTTTATTACTAGTATTACAATAAAATTTCATCAATAGTTAAAGTTTAAAATTTCCTATATATTAAGTTCAATGTAGAATATTTGTACAGTATAGAGTTATGCCTAGAATTTGTCTAGGTCCCACGAAATGTGATAAGAAGTAAATGCTTGTAATTATATCCACTGCAGATACAAATGCAAATTTCAACCTATCACTATCTTAACGCCTCTGACTGAACTAAAAAATCTTGGTTACTAACAATTTAATTTCCAACCTATATGGTAGAAATTTATTCCATTTATTGAATTATAAGACAAAACATAATAATCAAAAGTGGTGATATTTTTTTAATGGATATAACTTGTTTTTTACTGAATTATATTTATTCATATTATTAAAAAAGAGAAATTTTAATTTATTGAAATTCATAAATTTACTGAACTTCTGTCTAAATAATTAAGACACAATAAAACCCTCATTTGACTAGATAACCAATTGAAGGGAGTAGATCTGGACAATAACTATATTAATAAAATTAATTTAACCTGCATGTAATCAATATTGATTGAGTATTAGTTTAGATATAGAATGTAAAAAGAAAATTAGTCAAGCATTATATTTCAATATTGATATGAAAAATTAAGCTTTAACAAGGTATTCCTGAAGTATATAACATATATAATTGCTTAGTGCTATAAATTAAAAAATATATTAATATTTAAAATTATCATTATATCAGTTTATAAGTTTATGTAATTGCTTAGTACAGCTTATTTTATTTCACCATCCACTGGTCCCTGCCAATACGGGTATTTGCTGAAGTGGGCATGACTGCGCTAAACGCACTTCAGTAAGTTTAACGGGTAACACCATAAACATTCCAAAAAAAGTTTCACTTAAATCAGTGATCTCTAGTCTGTAATCTTCCATTGAAAGTGATGGGGCTCTACTGGCCACACTCTTGTTAGTAGATTATTGCCATTTTATTATCGGATTTAAACAACTTGAAAGCAGATGGTTTCAGAACTTTTCTGAAATTTTCATTATTTAATAAGAAATTTCTTATGTGTAGAAATGTCCTTAATAAAAATAACAATCTTATTTTCACTTAAATTGTTTAAGATTCATAAAATATATCCTGTATAAAAGGTATAAGGTATAAATTTCATTTTATTTATAATGTGCCCTAACCACTAATTACAATTAATAAATGTAACCTCTCTTTGAAGGTATTTAACCTTTTTCATGAAAAATATAAAACAAAATCTTTTTTAAATGGAAGTTTTGTCATAAAATTAAATTATTCATATATGTGCTATCAAATAACACCCATTGGATTTTTTTAGTTTATGCTTTGATACTTGCAATAGAATTTAGTTAGTTGTGACCTTACTGTCTTCAATAATCCTGCTATATTTTTATTTCCCTCCAGGCTCATCAGGATGCAAAGTCAATGATAGAAAAACTGAATTTCTTAAACAGTGAACCTGCTTCTTCTTATTTCCGATAGTTTGCACAATTTTATATATGTCGTAAGATATGTTCCCTTTGAAAAGTAAACAAAACAGTTTCTTAATCAAATAATATTTATTTTAATCAATAATTAATTCTCAGGTTGGGTTGAGACAGCAAACACACATTCCTCAATTATAAATATAAAATCATGCATTAATAGTACATAACATTTATGAATTTCCATTCATTTGTCCGGGTCTAATCTTGGCGCGCTTTCGAACTGTCTATTTATATTTCCCTCACCCTGTTCTGCCGTGAATCTTCCTCTGTATTGTTGTGTTCAACTTCTTTCAATCTTCTAATCTTTCTTTGTTGACATTCACTACTTGTTAACTCACAGTTTGTTTTCTCGATCCTCTTTACTAGCCGGCTGGTTTCCTTCTGCCTTAACATAAGGCTCTTCTTCTCCCAACATCTGTCATTCTTTCCCCATTTTTGGCAGTCATTCGTGACGTCACTACCTCCGCACCACTATTCAAAACCACTATGTAATATTTACATTATTACATTTACAATATAGGATGAAGATTCTTTTGGTTCAATGTATGTCACTCCAAAGTTGCCATTAAATGAGGCTTAAATAATATTGATTATGTTCTCAGAAGGGCATTTTTACTGACTTCCACTTTTTCTTATATTAGTAAATAGAGGACTGTTTTACAAATTTTAAGGAGTTTATTTTTGTTTGTAGGCATTAGACCCTTGCGTCATTAGCATATGTGGTTTGTTAGAATTTATTTAGTTGAGATTATTTATTTTTTAAGAAAAATCTTGTGTTAATTTTTACTAAATTTATATTAAGATATTGGTTATTTTAAGGATTGCTTTAACTACAATCAAACTTAAGCTATAATATTTGTGGCATATGTTTATTGATATATATGATAATTGTTCTTTGTGCTTATTTGTTTTTCATGTTACATACCTATATTTAGGTATTTTCATTTTCGGAATTGTGTAATAAAAATGTTATTATTAATCAAATTAACCATTAATCTGGTGTTTATGGAGCTTCTATGCATATGTGGTCATGCTTTGCTACATCAGTTTAAAATAATGATTATTTTCACACAAATGTAGTAATATTATTTTGTAGGAAGCTAATGATTGTTAAAAAAATATATGTTTACCCCTTATACATCTTTTCTCCTACCTGGCCATTTCTGGCATAACAGGGGGAACCTCTTATAATCTTTAATATTCTAGACTTATACAATAGTTTATGTTATAACATTAATATGACTACAGATTAGTGAAGTAACAATCTTAATACTTCAAGCATCTTAAAATATGGTTTATATATGAAAGGTCTATTTTTTAATTGTAACTTTTACTCATCTAAAACTATGTCATAGGAAGACAGGTGGACCTTCTTGTTTAAAATAATATATGTTAGAAAGGCTCTTATTCATGCTGTGAATTGAAGAAATTGAAATATTAGAAATGAAGATCATCTTAATGCCTCAGAAATACAAGCTTCTATTTTCTTTTAAGCTGTTGTAAAGCCACTTTTAATTTTAGAAAGAGTTAATCATCATTAAATAATTTTAACAATAAATAGAAAATTTAACTATACATAAAGACCAAAAGTCTTCACAGTTATACGTACTAATATTTTGACGAAGAAATGACTATTTGAAATCACAGGCAGTTCCATTCCCCTATAATTAATTATTTGCATGTGTTTTGGGAAAAATGATTAACATTATTCATTGAACTATGAAACAGAAATGACAGCATTCATATTTCATTAAACTAGGGGTGCCCAAAAGTGGAAGGAATTGGGCCATCAAAATTATTGAGGGGAGCATATATTTAGGTATTTATCTATCTCAACACTATAACTCGAGGGGATGGTCTTAGCCTCCTCTAGAACTTTCGCCATCCAGCTCAATCCATTGCCGCACTGCCTTCCAGTTCGGTGTTTCTAGTATTATCCGGGAGTCAGCCTCTATCCATCTTAGCCTGGTTCTGCTTCTCCTCCTGGTGTGATCAATTCTATCCTCAAGGACTCTTTTGGGAATATCACCTTCCTCCATCTGAATCACATGTCTGGCTGTAATGATTGTGTCCAGGCAAAAAGAAAGGTTGAGTAAATTCCAAATAAATCAAACTACATAACAATCTATATAATATTACCATTTTTCGGAACTATTATACCGGCCCAACTTAACCTTCCGAATTTAATTAAGTCGAGGATATTTAAGTCATTAAACAGAGTGAATAACTCCCAGTTTCCTTATCTCCTCCAAACTTTTCCTTTTTTCACAGAGCCATATATTCGTCACAAAATTTTCTTTTCGAACATAAGGAGGCTATTCTCATCAGCCTTTGTCATCGTCCATGTTTATGAGGTATAGTTCAACACTAGCCTAATCAAACTTTTATATAATCTTGCCTTAGTTTATCTTGTGAGTATTTGGCTCCTTATAAAATACCAACAGTTGGCTGCCTATTTCCCTCTCAGCTCTTTCCTATTTCCTTCGACATGTCATTGGTCGATGTCACAAGGGATCCAAGGTAGGTAAGCTCCTGTACTATTTGAAATTTGTATGAGCCTATTTCTATAGAACTTTCACCTTGCTGAACTCCATCAGCCTTTACCAACATATATTTCATTTTGGCCTCATTTATCTCAAGGCTGAATAGCGAAGCTGGGTGTTGGATTATCAGAAAAGCGTTAATCAGATCAGATTTGGATCTTGCAACTGTGTCAATATTGTCCGCAAAGCCCAAGATCTGTACACTTATGGTGACAATAGTTCTTCTTGTTTGTACTTCCAAATCTTATCGCCTTTTCAAGCCCTAAAATGCCACATAATTATATTCTTAGGTTTACATGGATATCTATTATCACTAGTTTTAAATTAAATTTATCACAATTATTCTTCTAATTTTCAACTTCATCTAATTTCTGATGGTTATCGTTGTTTCTAACACCCATAAGTATTCAATAAGAGCAAAAAGGGTGGTTATCCTTCAGATCACTAATTCTAGCCAATTGTAAAACTTGAGATTTATCAGTCTTTAAATAAAGTTTGAATTCAGGTCAGCACCACTTATTCAGATAAATCTGCTGCGCTGCTGCTCCTTAATCTTGGCCTCCTTGTCCTTAATTTATGGTGGTTAAAATCCATATTTATTCAGTTTTCATTGTTTTAACAAATTTATTTCATTGTGTTTATAAATACTCTATGCTAAATTCGAGTTCATCATAACAATTTTCTATTAATTCATTCCATATTTTTTTTAATGTTTTGCAATGTATACAAGTTTAATTATCTTTATGAATGTCTTTATCATTATATAGATGAATTTTGTACTTTTTATGTATCGATTATACTGTGTTGCTGGGTTCTATTTATATTCAAGTTTTATCGTGTTTTATTTAGGAGGAGCATTTGATGGAGTGGAAGATGGCAGCACACCCTTCGGCTATAAGAGAGGTGAAGGTATTGATGCTGGCCACGGAGAACCCGAATGGATTGTTAACAAGCTTCGTTATAAATATGATACAATATTTGAAACCCTTGGCCCTGTCAATGGGAAAATTTCTGGAGAAGGTATTCTATTACCATATATATTACTATTATCTTATTATTTAATCATAATGTTTTCCATATTTTTTTCTTGTGTGAAGAAAATATTTTTGCAAAATTATTATAAACCAGGTGGGTGAGCATGATCCTAACCAGATCACTTACTTGCTTAGCTGTTATTCAAGAAACTATATTTCCTTACCAAGTACTGTATGGAACCCAAAGATCTTTTATGGATTGCTGTTTTGTTTTTTTATGCAAAGTGTTAATGAATTGTTTCTGCCATTTTGGTATTTGATATGAAGTCCTGTGGCAGTCTGCTATACTTAATTTTTCTTAGTTTGAATTACAGTTTTGAAGGTTGGATCTCTATTCTTTTATAACAGTACCTCTTAAGTTAGTCTTACAGTGTACATGCTGTATAGGTTACCAATCTTCATTAACAGGGCTTAAACATGTTAACAATTTACTAATCACAGAGCACCCAATATCTTAACCCATATGCGAAGGGAAAATTCGAAAAAGAAATTTTAAAAAAACACTCAATCCTAGACACCACCAGTTTTTTCAAGTGTAATTTTTGTTTCTCTTGCTGAATCATTGAATGGCCTTTTGGTTTATGATCGATGTGCCATTTTCATTACTTACTAAAACCAAAAGTGTTTTTTAGAAAATGAGAATAGAGTCTGTTTTCGGCCTTAACTAAATTTTGAATATTTTTGTTTATTTTTACTGTTCATAGAACTCTCAATCAAAACTGATTTTATTAATTGAGGTTAAATTGAAAATAATTTCTTCCGTTTTGAAACAATTGCTGCTCTATTTCTGCCGTATTATTTATCAGTGTTATAGCATTAATCATATTTATAATGTACTATAAATAGTTTCTCTGTTAACATTTTAAACATTTCACTTTAAAAGATATCTAAAAAGAATTTTTTTTTTAATAGCTGCCAAAATTGAGATGGTCAAATCGAAGCTGCCTAAGCCAGTTCTTGGAAAGATATGGAAACTGTCTGATATCGACCGAGATGGCTTCTTAGACTCTGACGAATTTGCTCTAGCTATGCATTTAATCCAAGTTAAATTGGATGGACACGACTTGCCTACTACTTTACCAGATCATCTTGTACCCCCATCAAAAAGGGACTAGTGCTACGCTTCGTTTACACATGCTCGGTATATACAGCATATATTTTTTGCTACCGTAGATAAATTATATCAACACATTCTTTCTTTGACTCACAAAAAAAAATTATATCTCATAATTACCAACTAAATTCCATTTTAGTCCTATGTTGTACAAAGATGTAAGTTAATTTATGAAATTTCTAGGTTAAAGTGATATATATTTATTGTGCAAGTGCCTATTTATAGATTCAGAGGTGCATTTTAATTAAATCAGAGTAAGGAGACTGGTTTATTGATATAAATTAATAAACATAGTAAATTATTACTTTTCTTAAAAGAAAATCCTTATGTTAATAATTGTAAAGTTCGCTCTTGCCACTTAAAAAAAGACATTTTGAGAAGAAGAAAAAAAGAGTTTATATATTTAAATTGATTTATTTTGATGTTTATTTATATCTATATTTTTAAATTTTCATTTATGAAGATTTTTGTTTTGTTTTTATTTTTAAATGCCAAGAGTCTTTTATTTTTAACATTGTCAAGCACAATCCCTTTAAGTGTGCTTATAAAAATGTATAAACAATTGTTTTACTTACATCACAAAGTCATATTCTCTGTCTGGTTTCTATAAAGAACCAAATTAAGACTGATTGCCTGGCTTCCCCTTTCTGTCTTATTTTGAGTTCTTTGTAACAACAGGGATTTGAAGCAGACAAAATTAATTTTAAAATGTGTAATGCTTCAAAAAGAGCTTATTATTTATACCTGCGCTATTAGAAAAATATAAATTCCTTTATTTTTAATCTTAGTCATTTTTAAATAGCTTAGTTTCTGTTATTGGCAATATTTCTGTATTAGCACAAAAGCAATACATTGTTTATGAAAATGTTTAACATTAAAAAAGTAAAAATGTTTTAGAAAAATTATTCGTTTTGAAATAAGGGTGTCAATTATGTCTTAGAGCCAAAGATATGTGATGTTTTTTTATCATATTGGTATTAATATGACAAAAAAGCAATCGGGAGCGTAAAAACTATTAATTATAGACATTTGATAGCATTTAATTAATTGTGTATATAATTATATTATATCGCTTAAGGGATTTAAGTGTGTGTGATTTGTATGATATGAGTAAAAATGAAAAATTATATTTGTGTGCAATCAATAAATAAAATGAAAATAGGTGACAAAAATTGAAGTAGTCATAATAAAAATATTTTGTATATTGCTTTAGAACAATCTAAATTGTATTCTCTAATAAGTAAATTAATTAGTATTTAATTAGAAAACTTTATAATGTCATGATGTATCCTAAATTGACACGTACATTTTTCACTTTTTTGTGATTATGACTTCTTCAATTTCATATTATTATCACATATATATTTAAAAAAGTTAAAATATAAATCTATATATTTGTCAGAGTTGTTTTATTGTAATATTTACCCATTTCCTCTTCAAATTGTTATAAATAATGTAGTGTCCTTAACTCAGCTGAGGGTAAAGTACTTACATAAAAGATTTTAACAAAAATTGGTATCAAGGTAAATTGTAAAAATGCAAATATCACTTGATCAATGAGACTAAACTAATAATAATCATAATTAGTATACTTAGCAAACAAATTATTTATTTACTACTGGCACTCTCTCTATTTCTAAATATTATCTGGTGTATAATTACATGTTTAAAACATTTGAAGCTTTTGAGAGTTCCAAAACCAATCAAATTAAATAATTAAGAACTACAATACTATATTTGTAATCTATATTAGTAACCACGGTCAACTTTAATACCTTCAACAGTATTGGTTATCATTTAAGCTTAAATAATATGTTCTATTTTTTTTAATTATTCTCTATTATTGTTTTTTATTAGAAATAGTGGGTCGCCTTTCCAGTGCCACAATTGGCAAAAATAGTCTACGAGCGTAATCCATATTACCAAGTCACAACCCTTGAAATCCAGGTATTATAATTAATTAAATAAACAAAGAAATAATATGAAGTAATGTACATTTTAATGATTTAAAATTCTCAGATGCGATTTAGAGATAAAGTATTTAATAATTTCAAAATATTTAGTTATAGCATAGCATAAATTTTAATATAACTGCCGCTAAATTGGTTATAACATACTGAAAACCTAAGTGTGAGGTAGTTTTAGATATATTTCATGTCTGATGTTTACTTTTTGTACTATAGATCAGCTGCCTTGAAATCTTTTGATTAATTGAAACTATATGAATGTTAAATATTAGTTTGTTAGATCCTTTTTTATATAACTAAAACAATGTTTCAGCACAAATTGTAAATTTTATTAATGTCCTAATAAAACACCTTAGACAATTCAATATTAACATTCCATTCTAGCCTTAGTGAAATCAGTAATAAAAGAACAATTTGGGTCACAAAAAAAAATTATTTAAGCTATCATAAGATTTTAACAGCAGGTGATTTATTTTAAAGGATACAGATTACGAACTGGAACAATAATTTACTCTTGGATCATTCTTGAATTATTTGACTCTTTGGTGGTGTTCCAGATCTTTTCATTTGTTCTACACTTTTTTCAAGTCTATTAAAATTATGGTATTAATTTTTTTAAGAAATTTAATGGTAACATTGAACTGAATCTGTTTCAACCACATTAAAAATATCTCAATGTAAATTTAAAAACGTAATGAGTGTTACTGCCCCCAAATAATAAGGATAAGAAGTTCTCTGTGCATTGAAATATAATGATCTTCATTGATTAATGTTCAACCATGGATCATTTCACTGTTATATGATTATAACATTATAAATGATAATTGCTAATTAATATTCGGCATTTGCCTTTCATATATGTCCAACATTTAATTAGGTCAGAAATAGTGATTTTTTATGTAAACGTAATGAATGTTAGCTCAACAACAGTTACAACTAATCATATAAATTAAATATATATATTTTAATTTTTCTACTACCAATTGATTATATCAGGTTTGTTTACACATGAGCTTTTGGAGAACAGAAGGATTTTTGTTGTTTTTCTTATATGAATTGTTAAAAGAAGCAAAAATCATTCCTTTTTAATTTTTCACAACCTGAAAAACTCAAAAATAATAATTTTCATAGCAATTGAAACATTGAAATTTTTGCCTAGGCTGGATCCTTTTAAATTTCTTCATCCATCAAAAAAATTGGGATAACTTCAGAGCAAATTACACAGAAATTATTACGGACTTAGGGCTCTGCATACTACACAAAATGGTATAAACGCGACCTCTTTAAACAAATTAGAACCTAAGATATAAAATAAAAATGCTTGAGAAGTTTTTCTAAATTTCTAGCTTCAAAACGTACTGATGTGGTTTGGAAGAGCAGCGATTCTGTTTTCCAACAGTTGTACTAACATTGAATTTGGATAAAATCTTAAGAATTTATGCAAGCTTTAGTTGAAGGCCAGAAAAAACAAGTCCCTAGAAAATGAAGTACTAAAATTTGCAATTTTTGGTATCAATAAAAATTCGTATTTATGAGTTTTAAAGAACACTAGAAACGAATGTAACTTTCTTTTTCATACCAAAAATTTACATAGTCTTCTTTACTGTAAGTCCCTTTTAGTTATTGTTATTTAATAACTCATTTCATACTATAATCAATACATTTTCCTTATTCTGGACAAAAAATATAATCGATTGGTATATAAAAACTTAAAAATCCGGACAAAACAATGGGAAAAAAAAACAATGGGACAAAACATACACTTTGTTCGAAATCATATAATTTTTTCTCAGTTCCTCAGTAGGGTGCATTGGCAAGAAACCTCGGACATGGTTGGGGTAATCAGTAAAAATAAATAACTGTATTTATTTTCACATTCGCCGATGTTTCGGCCCGAAGTTCAAACCTTCATCAGGGCTAAGAAAAGAACCAGATAACAATAGGTATAAGAAACTATAAACATTGAATAATAAAGAATTAAAATTAAAAAAGATGAAAGGTATAGACTAAAAATTTAGGTAGAAAAACTCAACGTAAAATGAAGTAGATAGAGTGAACATTCAAGTAAAACAAAGTATGTAGAATGATAACAGTAACAGAGAACTAAGAAATAAATAATAATAACTGTAACAAAGCACGGACCATTGAAATAAGCATAATAAAAAAATTGGTTCTTTTCTTAGCCCTGATGAAAGCCTGAACTTCCGGCCGAAACGTCAGTGAATGTGAAAATAAATACAATTATTTATTTTAACTGATCACCCCAACCATCTTTCTCTTCAATTATTCACTAAATTCAACCATCAACCCATAATTTTGAATATTTAAGGTTGATTGATTTCTTAATATTCGGTTTTTCATGGTTTGTATGTTGTTATTTTGCAGTATTACAATACAGTGTATGTATACTTTTATGTTCTGGTATTTTTAGTCACACACAAAAGGAATATCTGAGTCAATATTTATATAGAATAAAAAAGTAAACAATATTTGTTTTTTGTCAAAAGATAACCCTTTAAGGGGAAAGGAAGTTCAAAGAAATATCAAGTCAACTGTAAAAAATATTTTATTTCAGAATGAAAAAAGATTTACAATCCAATGTGGATAATAATAACAAATAATGCCCACTAATGGTGAAATAGTGTGAATGCATTAATTTACAATTTTTTTTTTTTTTTCATATCTAAAAGCCAGTTATGTAAGAAAATTTCAGTATATATCATATCATTAAGTTTAATTTAAACATTACGTTGTATTGTTATGAAGTTGAAGATTAAATAATCATGCTAGATTTTTTCTGAATAAAACAAATAGAAAAATCAATCCATCACTTGAGTATAAACACAAATTTTTTTTTTCCCCAATATGTCTTGGTCAGGACTGCTTAGTAGTAGGTACATGGCATATTAAAAAAAAAATGAAATATATATATATATATATATATATATATATATATATATATATATATATATCTTTAAATAAACGCAACAATAAAATTTCTCTTAAACTTACCAGTCAATTTTATTTTCTGAATTCAGTTTTTTTCTGACATATTTTAGAATGCTCTTCAATCTCTTAATTTTTGGATTACTGGTTTAAGTATAAAACTTTTCTATACTAATGTTTAAAATTAATACACAACCGATTTAAAATTCAAATTATGTTCAACATACATATAACTACATTAATGAAAAAATCTTTAACCAATATAAAAATTAACATGAGCAAACTTGAGTCTACGTTCTAGAATAGGATATGGTGCTCCAGGTTTCACAGTTTTGAAGGATTATAAAAAGAAACTGAATAAACTTTCTATTTTATATAAAGTAGTTTTAATCAGCACACTATATTTTAAAAACAATATCACCAAGATAATGCCCACAAACATCAATACATTCTCTGAAGTTTCCCACAGCCTACATTTAACCCCAAGATTTATTAATTTTAATTCATTTATTTTTCATCAGCTATTGTGACATCAATGAATTATACCGAAATCTAGTTCCTTACCAGTATCAATAAGTGACAAGGATGTTACTCTTGTATTGAGGAAAATAATTGGAACTGTAAGTACTGCAATTTATTAGGTGTTGAAGATGATGAGTTGAAACATTACCTTTGTCATAAGAAAATCGTAAGCACAGGAGAAACATTTTTAAACAAAGTTACTGAGAACATCGAAAAGTTCCAGTACAAAAAAACAGATGTATTCTTCAGTGCATATCTAGAATGCCTTGGCTCTGGCAGACTTTTGGAAATTGTTATCATTATTCAGAAGAGAGGGAGGTAATATCTTCTCAAAAACCATTATAACTACACCAGGAATTTAGAGCTGGATGGGATCTATTGGAAAACCCGTATGCCAGAAATGGCTGGGTAGGGTGAAAGAAAAAAATGGATCTATTGGAAGCCATAGAAGCTAGACATCACAAAAGAGCACCATCTGAAAAGATGAGGATTTTAGTTACAGTTCTCAGAAATTTCAGAAGCGCAAGTTCTGTAAGGGATTATACGCCAACTCCTGAACATCAGAGGTCAATTTAAATATGTTTCTAAAACTAGATTTATAATGCCTGGTAACTGTTAAATTTTATAATCTAATCTAAATCTAATTATTCTAAGTATTAATAAGAATTATGTTAAATAAAAAATAAATTAAAGCATTTCTCTATTCTCTAATGCATTATTTAAAACAACAATATTAAACAGACAGTAGTTAAAAATTTAGAAGTACTGAAGTCCACTACTCTGATTTTACCTAGAATTATATGAGCACTTAACTTGAGCCATTTTATTTGCAGTTTTGAATTTGATATTAGTTTTTCAGAGAGACTGGAATGGAATGTTTTGATAGAGAGGAGTAGAACTCACATGTTTTTGTTTCTTTTACATATTAATTATAAATACTTTCTTTTACTAACCAATATTGGGGATAGGTGATGTCCATTATGTTAATAGAGACTATGTTCACAAAGTAAATAACAATATTATATCTACAATTACCAATTGAGCAAGATTAATAGTAGTACTTCTAAATATCATCTAAAAGTATTTAAAATGCCCAGGTTATTCTAAAAGTATGAAATATCTTGATGAATCTCTCCTGAAGTATGAAAATAACGAAGATAAATGACATTCAAGATACTTAATTCAACAGAATTTGTTTAAATTATTTAAGGTTTTACAGATGAATACTTATAAGAACAAAAGTAATTGAAAAAAAAAATAATAAGGTATCTGAAACATTAAAATAACATTTATTATACTAATAAACTAAGGGTATACTATACTCCAAACCATTATCATTATCCTTAACATCATGTAAAATTCACTCCAGGTACATCAAATGATTAATACTGATAAATGAACCAAAATAAAGTTAACTAAATTGGAAAATTTTATATTTATAATTTTTAGAATTATGCTTTTGATGATTTAATAACCAAAGCTAAACCATTTAAGATAATCATAAGATACCATATCATATTTTCTTAACAATGAGTGAATATCAAGTATTTTTTAAGATGCTTCAAAATAAATATACAAGCATGTTTTATATTGACTCTATATCCTTCCAAACTAGGCTAGAAAACTAGAATCTCTACTCTATCATAAACCAACAGTTTATTTGGTGCCAGAACTTGGTGAAAATTAGTGAAAAATGTACTAATATAATTTTTGTACTCTGCTATTATTTCAAGGCAAAATTTCTTCAATTTCAACTAGTTGAAATATCTAATTGGTATTGATGATGCTAATTATTATTATTTGATTAGCTTTCAGTTTTATGTTCAAAAATGTATATGAGTATATGTAAAGCTAAATGATGTATTAGTTAGAATAAATTCTAAATGTAGGCCTTAGTTTACCATTTTTTCATTTATATTAAGTTTAAAATAACTAAACCTAGTAGAAGCAAACAAACCCCATTATAACCAATCTGAAGAGAAAATGCATCATTACATTAAAAATTAAAAAATTGTCTAGCAAGCAGCACCCTAATATCGTAACTATTGATCATTTTATACAAATAAAATGTATATCAAACAGAAGCATATTAAATCTTTAGTTATATACCCAGCATAAAATGGTATTGTTCTTCACTGAATAACCAGAGCATCACTTGTAAATGATCAAATTTAAGGGTATTAAAAACCATAATTAAATCTCCGACAGAGAACTTCACAAATACACAACTTACAACCGTCAGTTATTTCAATATTAAACAATTTATAAAACGAAGTTTAGTTTTCAACCAGTGATGTAAATTAAGAAAATGGTAAATCCAATAATGGAAAACAACTTTCCCTAATTAACTAATTTTTTTAGGCTTTCTTTTTTTGAATGCTGAAACTTGTTTCAATAATTCAGCATTCTCATCTTCAGCTACAGTAGGAGCATTTAAGAACTTTTTCGGTACCAAAATTAATCCAAACAAAGTCAAACCTAAAAAATTAGTATAATATTTTAAAATGGATCTTAAAGAAGAATAGAGGCAACAAAGAATATAATTCATATACTCACAATTAAGAACACATGGAAATACAATGTAGAAATTCAAGGCAGCTGACTTGAAATACAAGGCTTCCATTAAATACATGATAATGCTTGATACTATTGCACATATTCCCATGCTGATGATTCTAAAATTATTAGGATTTTTAGAAAATTTACAAAAATCTTATTATTGTCTGTGGTCTTGTTTTGTTTACTGATAAACATTTCATATATTAAAAATAAAATACTGCCAATAATATTCCCATTAGACTTTTACATTGTCAATACAAACAAAATTATTGCTACATTTTTTTAGTATTTATAATTGTTACTATGAAATGGTTTTCAGCAAAAATTATATTACATATATTAATTTACTTATGATAATTAAATAAATTTTAAAAATTAAATTCAAAATTTTTAACAGCTGCAGCACCATCAATTTTCTTTTTATCTGCTCTGTTTTTAGATTCTCTATATGCGGAATAGAAGAGAACCTAATTTTACTTTGTCATATTTTCAATCATAACAAGACCATATGAAAATCTAAGTATTAGCAACTATTTCACTCTATTCACCTTATGTTTACCACTTACAATTTGTACCTCTTAATATTCCATTTCATTTTTCATTTCTTAATTTTAATAAGTTCTTTGCATTTTTCCAATATTCTTTATCTCATAAGTTCCTTACTCTGTTGCCATTATTTTATAAATCAACTGTTAATCAAATTAAATTTTATATATCAAACCGTTATTTTATAATTGCTTACTTCACCACTTTATTACCTTTATTTTGTAACTTCCTAAGTTTGCTCCATTATTTCATCAGTCTCTAATTTTGTTGTCTTATCTTATATATCTTAACTTTGCTACCCCTATTTTATAATTGCCAACTTAGCTACAGTTACATTATATTTCCTTTATTTATAAATCATATATATACCATTCCACATATTTATTAATGTTAAGTTTATATATTATTACTATTACCACCTAGTTTCTCAATATTTATGTTATCTTTTCTTTTCTTAGCCCTAATAGAGACTTGAAACCTAGGCTGAAACGTCAGCTCAAGAAAATAAAACTAAATATAATTTCTTTATTTATACTTTGTCTTTTCTTTAACTGAACGACCCAATCAACTTCTCTTCAATAAATATTAATCCATCAAGGTTACATTTGAAGTAAGGAAATTATAGTAATTAGAAGTATCGAATTAACTATTTTCTGATTTATTTTTCAGATCCATACTTAGTTATTACCTAATATATTAATTACAATTGGACAAAATGAAAGGAATAAGGACCAAAATTATACAGCAATATCTATGGCAACAAGAAATAAATAGGCAAAACATAAAATGGTCATCATAAATTATGTGTATTGCGATTATCTTCTAAGCCTTTTACACAGTACAACAAAGTTATTAATCCAACAGTTCTTAAATAAACTCTGAAAAGATTGAGAGTTACCAACTTTTTGCACTGATTGCAGATTTCTGTGATGATCCCCCAGGCCATCAAACATTTTGTAACCACTTGATATTTACATATTAAGGCATTGTTTTAATTACTTATAAAATACCAATAAATTTCTCTTTGAAAGTTAAATTCTAGAAGAACTGAAAGAATACATTTCAAATGCAATTATTTTTATAAACTGATACATAATTTGTTATTACAATATTAATTATTTGTAATATTAATATTGTATTGCTCTTCTGGTCACAGTAAAATAAAATTAAACTGGAAATAATACTATTTAATCCTAACCTTCAATCATTTAAAATCAAAAGATTAACTCCAGAGAATTTTATTTAAATTTATTACAGCAAAAAACTGAATTTTAAGTCAAGGTTTCCAGTAAATTGTTTTTACTGATTAAAAACATTTTTTTTTTTTTTTTTTGGAAATACTTAAAAGTACTTTTATTTTTTAAAAAATGGCTTCTGGCATTACAGATTATAATGCTGACTTGGAAATGACAGTACTGTACTATTATTATTCAATGAATACAGCTGATAGCATTAAAATACATTCTTCAACTTACGGTAAATAATGAATGAATACTGTACAGTGTATAAGGGCTATCGCTTTAAGAATGGAGTACATTCCCAAAACTCTTGGAAGTGTTGGATCATCTGAAACATTAAAATTTAAAACTTGTCATGATCGAACAACAAATAGTAATTTGAATTAATGACAGTTGAAAGGCCCCTGTCAATACGACCAATCACAATGGATCAAATGACTGAAGTCATTGTCACTTACTCTGCTCAACAAGACCGTCTGTTTTCCTGAAAGAATATTCACCAAATATGCATTTGCTTTCAATAAAAGATCTAATTGCAACACCAATATCCATGAAGGCAACGAAAGCTATCCATCCCCTGAAAGCGTACATAATTTTTTGATCCATGGTGAATAATTTGCCGTGTTTTAGGGGACATACTATTTTAAAGGACGCTTGGCTAAATTTCTGAATAAAACTGCATTTACATCAATCAGTTAAGAGAATCTATTTTCAACGTAACCTTCGTTGTGGGCATGCTCAGTTTCAGTTGCTATCGATGTTATTTAATTACAACAGATTCTTCCCAACTAATCCTTGAAACCAATAGCTGGAACTGGATCTTACGAAAAGATGACTTTTAAATTATCTGAATGGTGACCAGATTTCAATGACATTGAAACATTTATAACTAATACGTACTAATTAATTTTATTTTTATGGAACTTAGTTGATTTAGGGAACTGTTAAATTAGCAATTAAATGTAACGTAATAAGTTCTATATTGGGATCGTTTATTTCTGAAACCATCAAAATGTAGGCACTTCACAAATGTTCTGGGAGTCAAGAAAAACCTCATATTCGCTGAATTATGTTTATATATTATTTCTGCAGGGTGTTTGTTTGTCTCTATGTCATATCTTCGTCAATTCTTCATCAAATCTAATGATTGGGCTCTCATTTTGAAGATCTTCTTAAGTTGGCTTGAAGATCTTAAGATGCGAAAAATAGTCACATCGCCCCCCAAATTTAAGGGGGGAAAGTTACGAAGGAAAAGAAACTTTTTGTTCTAATAACTTAAAAAGTTACATTTTTTGTTTATTATACTCGTGAATAATTAATAGATTACTAAACTCTTTACAAAATAAAAAAACAAACAAACATTGGAATTGGACAATTTTTAGCAAGCATACAGCCTAAAGTAATGTTATAATCTATGCAATAATGTGATACCTCTGAGAAAAAGAAAATTATTTCATCTATCTCATAATACATTGCACTAACTTATTTATATTATATTGTCCTTTGTGATTCTGATATTACAAAAAATAAGAATATAATATCTACTTAAACAGGACTAATTAAAGCCAACAGTAATGGATGATCAAATAATTTTCCTGAATTGAGGCTAGAATGCCAATATGATCCAACTCTATAATCACATGGTAAAAGAATTTCTTCCAAAAACAGTTAAATTTCTTTTGGTTTAACTGTTTATCCTTATAAATGATATTTTTATTAATTAAAAAAAAACTGAAAAAGGAGCTGACTGGTTTTAGAAATCCATACCACAATTAACTGATTAAGAATTTAAAATAAATAATTGATTTACAAAATAAATTACAGCTAAACATTGATTATTTCTACTCCTTGTGGCATGTTTTGCCCTTTTGATTCATTGAAGTATAAGATACTCATAAAGCAGATGTGTAAATAATGCCAAGGCAATGTATGAGACATATTGGAGATTGGAATCTTTGGGATGCAGGGTGTATAACAGATATACTAGGAAACTAACTAAATAAAATAAAATAAATTGTTGAAAGAATTATTTATTTATATTAAGCATTTCTTGCTATATTTAGTATATATATATATATATATATATACTGATTTATCTTTATCTTTACTTTTTATGTTTGTTTTTATTTGGCCAGATATAGCATTTTAATTTTGTACTTTTTTGTTATTCTGAAGGGACTTGGTCCCAGAATAAAATTATTTTCTATTCTATGTTTAAGTAAGTAATATATAAGGAGCAAGTATAAAGATGGTAATTTTTTTTGAGGGGGAGGGAGGAGATGCACAAGAAAAACAATTAAATAGCTAAGGGTGACTTTGCCTTAATGCTTAAGTCACCCTTAGCTATACCAATGCCACAGAGGATATGAAATTCCAAAAAATGGCATTAGAAGAGACCCTTATGAACCAGTCATCATCCCTTGCTGTCAATTTTTGTTTCTAATTAAGGTATCAGATCATCTCTATGAACATTTTTTTATCTGGTTGTAGAATGACTGCTTGATACTCTAGATCACAGCAAATGCTAGAAACAATCACTTCTCAGATCCATATCAGCCTCAGCATAACAGATGGTTATAATGAAGCATACTCCAGCCAGATGATTATTAAAGCTAACAGAACAATGTCAGCTAAACTAATCTGTCTCCTATTCCACAGATTACCAAGAATATTTATCGTACCCTCTTCTTCCAATGCCTTGATTTTTTTTTTATTCATTCCAATGTCAAGAAATTTGTCATTTAAGTATTAAAACCTTTGTCAAAGATTGCTGATTGCGAACATGCATCTCAATTCTTAGACAGAGTGGCTACCAGACATTTAAAGTAAAATTTCCTGAGTTTTCCATATTTAATGATAGTTTTTCCTGTCCAATATGTCTGGAAACACAAATATTAAAAATATACAATTCATAATTAAACTTATTGATTATATATGAAAGAAAACTGACTACAAATGATGTGAGCAAAAAAAAACAGTCTTTTAAATAATAAATCATAAACCTTAATACAGTCAGTAACTTCTAAAATCTGAATATGGACTGGTCATGACTACAACTGACTTAGTCAAAAGTACCAGTTTAGTCAAAAGATAAGTTGTGCCAACTTAGATTAGCTGAAGTACAATTACAATGACATAACAGACCAGGCAAGAATGAATGACCAATTGGTACCTCTCCTCTCAATTTTTACTGAAAGTGGAATTTCCTTTTTAGGATGCAACAAATTCTGCTATAGGAATTTTTGGAAATAATAATAATGGGAAATGTTGGTGATTACAGCAACGAAAAATTCATAAATTGCAGGTCTGGTTGTTTTTAAAACTATACCTCTTAGATAAAATATATAAGGAATAATAAATACATTAGGAACATTTAAAAACAAATAACTACATATATTAACAAATATAAACACATTAATACTAAAATTGAAATTGATCCATAAAGGTAACAATTTAATACAAAAAACAGAAACATCTTTGATAAAAGTTAATTGAATTAACAAGTGGTGCAAAATCTAAAGTTACAACTCTATTATTTTTTAAACTTATAAATGTACAGATAAATAAAATTAGGATTCATGTTTATACAAATTCTATTAAGTTATTTACTAAGTAAACTTTTTATATTTAATATTTAAGCTAAAATTTTGACAGAACTACATGTAAAGTTACAAGTTTCTGTCCTACCTATTATCTATTTTGTAAGAATGGTATAAATTCATTTTAAAAATATAGAAAATAATAATAACTTTAGTATATATTATTCAAATAATGGATAATATTTAACACTGGTTTTATGTACACGATACAATAATAAAATAAAACATCAAGTATATACAATCATCAGGTCTAAGAGTTGGTGTCAAAAATTGTTAAAAATGTCATTCACATTAAAAATAAAGAGTATTCTCTATAATACTTTTGGGACAATGTTTTCGTACTTCAATATTTAAAAGAAAACACTAAAAGTCATTAATCTTCCATTTCTGCAGCTGGAATCCTCTGAACAATAAGTTTTTTCTTTGGATCATATTCAAAGTGATTCATTTCAAATACTTTGCTTTCGTAAAATGGACGCACATCATATATTTTTATTTGCTTAGCCTGGAACAAAAGCATACCATTAGTAAATTATATCAAGCCTAAGTTAATTTATCAGGCACACACAAAGAAAGAAAAATAATATAGTTTAACGGGTAAAAAAAAAAAATATAAAATTATAATTGGCAAAATTATTGATCCATTTATTAGCTTATAAAGTAAGCACTCATTTAGTAGCTTGTTCTTTATGATGGCATCTATGAAGTGCTTCCAAAGGTCAATATAATTGAACCTTAGAACAAAAGGACCAATGTCCAAAATTTTGGATGAGCTATATGAAATAAATCAATAGAATCCAAATAATCATCCATTAACCATACTACTATTAGTTAGTCTAGATAGGTAATAATTGGAGGACAAGTTACCGATTAATAACTAATAATATACATCCTACCATGATTTTTATTTTTGTGCAGTTCATTCAAAATTTAAATGTTTTGGAGATAGGTATTTTTTGTTCTAAGGTACAGATATATTCTTGACCTTGATAATTTATGTTATTAATATATCGGTGATTTATACAAATTTATACATTATAATGCAAGAAAGAATTGTTTGTAAATCCATTAATTTTTCATTTGAATGGCAATCTGGTACAACAAATAAAAAAAGATGGTTCAATAATCGGAACAATTGATAAATTAAATGAGAAGATTAACAAAATTCATATTTTATAAACATACAAAAAAGTTGTCTGTAGCAAATAATTGGTAACTACAAAAATATTTAACCCTTTGCAGACCCATCCATTGATTACAAGCATGAAAAAATATTAAATGGCCTTAGACTGATGTATACCGGCATAAACAAGCCATCATGACATGTCCTTTTGTTTTAGAGGTCATAAAAATGATAAAATTGTGAATTTTCTTTCAGGACTCAATTATTACTCCAATCTTTTTTGTCCAGATTAATAAATTTTGTCCTCATAGAACCTCTAGTTTTAAATATCCTTGTCAGCCCGAGCTCGACAATGGATCAGTTCTCCTAACGATAGATATAAAAATGAGATGAAATAAAAAACTTGTCTACTCCAGTTCTGAGTGATTTTGGGATCACCAATATAATTTTTAAAAAATGTTACTGAATGAAATTAAACATATGAAGGTCATCTATAAGAACTAACAAAATTACCCACTTTTTACCTCATTGTTTCAATAAATTACTTGTAAACTAACAGATATACAAAAGGAACACGCTAGCCATAAGGAGGAAATAGTCACTACAATCAAACCAATGATCTGATTTATTCTGACGATTGTTTGGTATAGCTAGAAATTTACAAGCCCATTTCAAAGCTTGAAGAATTTTAAACACAGAATACATAGAGAATAAAAATATTAGGCATCAATAATCTCACCTTATCAATAAAATCTTTTTCATGGATTTCTATTACATTAACAGCAACTCCATGTATACCACGAATATACATCATTTGATCAGATGCCATCTGTTTCAAAATATAATACAATAATTCTGTTGTATCTTTCTTGTATAATAAATATTTCTGGAAAGTCTGAAACATTAAATGACTTATTAGAACATAAATAAAACCAAACAAAAATTAAGTTCCCTAAAGTACTCATTCTCTATAGTACTCAGTAAAGTTCAGATTACAGATCAATTTATTCCTAATACTGACTAACGGGAATTAAAATAATGATTGTAAATAAAATCAATAATAATACTAAAATAGGAAAAATATTAGACCAAAATAAAAGTTGGGAAATTTTAGAATTAACTTTAGAAAATACATAAAATTCCCAAAACTAACTGAAAGTACTATACCTTTCTCATAGTGCTCATTATACTGTATTTTTGAGTTTCTACAAACGATTCTAACATCATCCGCATGGCCATATTAACATCATCTTCTTGAACATGTGCCCTAAGATGCATTCTAGCATGTGCTTCTGACATACGTATCATAGATTCTATATGTCTAACAGTAATAGGAAGACTTCCTGTCGCCTGGAAAGAAATTATAGTAAAGAGTAAATTAAAACAGAACATATTTAATATAACAACAGTTCAGTTATTTAAGAATTTCAACTTTATGACACCAATTTTAATTTTTAAAATAAAGACACTAACCAAGGATTCTTGTCGCAGATGAGAATACAGGGTAGCCACTTTATCCTGGTCCATTGAATTGAGTTTTGGATGGACATTGAGCTTTGAATACACAATATACTTCTGTAAAAGATCCTGGGGAATGGTATCTTTCTGTAATTCTGCTTCAAATGAAGGTGGTGGATAGTTAGAGGCAGCAGGGTGGTGTTTCATATGAGATGAAACCACGAATTTTGCCAGCTGTTCATCTGCCCCAGGATCTGCTTCATCTCTGACCACGCACAAAACATCAAATCGAGACATGATAGGTTCTGATAGGTTAACCTGGAAATTTTTTTTATAAATTATTAAATTGACAACCGAAAACTATATGCGAATAAATATCCAATTAAAGTTGTTAAAATGAAACCATGGACTTTTTGATGTACTACTGGTTGCAGGTCTTTCATTGACAATAGGTAAAAAATTACAGTATTAAATTTTCTCATGTCCTCCCAAAATTTTTATATTTTTTTTTATGCACAAATGTTTCTGGCATAGTGTCATTATCAAGTGGTTATTATGGAGCTGGTTAAAACTATTGTTACTCATAGAGGTCCAACATAATGGTAGAGCTAAAATAATTGATTTGCTGAATGCTAAAAAGGAAGTTACGTTTTATAGTTAATCAAACAATAAATTAGTGAAGCTACAGCTACCAGGATGTTTAGATAATGACTCTTTTAGCATTCCATGAACAAAATGTCTATATAAATAGAACACAACAATGAAAATAACTAATATGCCCCAAATAATTGGAGAACAACACTTTTAACATTCAGTGATGCAATTATTATCATAATCACAGTGCTAGGTTAAATGTATCATAAGCACTTGCTAATGTAAGTTGTGCTGAAAATGACTGTACATTATATTTAAGTGCTTTAATTGAGGGAAGACTTCATAAATGATGAACAAATCTTTTTTATTTCTTATTATTAACATACAAGCAGCTTTGTTAATTATATTAAAATAACTATTAAACTATATTAACACATATATCCACATTTTTAAATTTAACAGTTAGAAAACATGTAATTTTAAAGACTCACATTTTCAGAAAACGTCATTGAGGTGTCATATCTGCCACCAATAGGATTAGCAGCGGCAATTACAGAGCAACGAGCTTGAAGTGATGTCACAATACCTGCTTTCGATATTGAAATGCTCTGCTGCTCCATTGCTTCATGGATAGATGTTCTATCATGATCATTCATCTATAAAAATGTATTATAAATGTATAATAACTATAAACAAGATATTATTAGATTATTTTTAATGTTAAAAAGATATAATTACTTTATCAAACTCGTCGATAAGACAAACACCTTGATCAGCTAAGACTAAAGCACCAGCTTCTAAGGTCCACTCATGAGTGATAGGACTCCTTTTAACATAAGCAGTTAAACCAACTGCTGAAGCACCTTGACCAGTAGCAAAAACTGCCCGTGGTGCTAGTTTCTCAACAAACTTAAGAAACTGAGATTTGGCTGTTCCAGGGTCGCCACACATTAATAAATTTATATCACCTCTAACTTTATGTTTACCACCTAAAAAACAAAATGATCATTTTAAGCCATTTGAAATAGTGAAAAAAAAAATCCTATAAGAAAATAATTTTTATATTTTTTTGCCAGTTACTATAATTTTTTTAATGCAGCAGTAAGTACCTGGGTTTTTAGGTTGACCTCCAAAAAGAGCTAACGCTATTCCTCGCTTAATAAAATCATGGCCATAGATTGAAGGAGCAATACTAGATACAATCCTTTCTCCAATCCGATGATCCTTGCTCAATTTCATAATGGCAGAAATATCTTCATCAGTCAAAGACTCGACTATATGTTTTGAATCTTTGACAATCAAATGATTAACAATAATTACCTGAAATAACATTCAAAATAAAAGTAATTAGTAATAATGCTTTGAAGTTTTTAAAATATAATAGAGATAGAACCAGTCCACATACTGCTTAACTAAATCAATTATTTTATTCATTCTTATTATAATTTTTTAACCACATGTTATCTTAAAATAATAAACATTGGTAATTTATCAGGGTAGAGGAGGGGAGAGTAGGGATCTATTTTATATCCAGTTTAAAATATAATTATAAGGGCTTCAAAGATGTTTTATAGATATTTATATTTATAAAACATATTTTTATGTTTTATAAATATAAATTATAAGGGTTTTATAAATATAAATTTAAATATGTTAAAATATAAATATAAATTATAAGGGTTTCAAAGATGTTTTATAGATATTTATATTTATAAAACATATTTTTATGCGTTTAAAAAAAAAAAAACTTTTCGATAGATTTCTGGTGCTTACTTAAGCTTTTTTTAATAGTTAAATTTAATTAAATAATATGAATAACACTTATTTACAGTAGCAAATACTGGAAATCCTTGTTCAGTATTGAGAGATCCATCATAACTGTTAGTATAAACACCAGTTATATCCACTTCATCTCCTGGTTTACACCTGAAATAAATGATATAGATGCAATAAAATATTATATAAATAAATGTTTAAGATTCATACAAAAAACTGTATGATAAATCTAACCTATCAGTAAGATCAGCAAGAAGGATGCACTCCTTAGACCTTGGCATACGCCCAGCAGGAATTTTTCCAGGTGATTCTTGGATAGTAACCTTTTGGTAATTACGATAAATAGTTTCTTCCATATTGATCTATAATAAAAAATATATAAAAATGAAAGTTTTAAGATTTTTAAAAGGAAATATCTGATACATGTAATACACACTAACTGACCGTAAATGGTCCACTACTTTGACATTCAGGACAAGAACCAGGCTTGACTTCAGATTCTTGAGACTGGGCAAACGGTCCTATGACATAGCCACATTTTGAACAATCATACTTGACAAGTGATAACTGAGGAAGAACACCAGTCCCACCAGTGACGACCCCACTTGTCCTCACTAGCTGATTCAAATGAATTTTCCTAGAAAATAATTAACATGATTTTAATGCTAAATATTAATTAATCAATTTTATTAGATGAAAATACAACTCTCGTTTAAAATAGTTGGGTTTGATAAACAGTTATTTATACATATAAGGAAAAATGACAATTTAACATACCTAAAAGTTCTAAGTTCTTCAATTAATGGTAGTTCAGATATTCTCACATGAATTTCTCTCGTGACTCTTTCATAACTAGGATAAATAGTGAGAACAAAAGCTTTAGCAACCTAGAATTAAAAAAATAATAATTAAATGAGATAAGTACTTGAAAGAAACATTTAAAAATTTCAATAATGACAATAATCATAACGTAAATAATATAGTGTGTATTATCAAGTAGAATATGTAAGGCGAATCAGGTATATTACCAGACTACTAATAGCATTATCGGCCATCGCGAAGTAGACAAGAAGACCAAAATGCACGTATATAAGTCTGTTTACCTACCTACACTCACCTACGGCGGAGAAAGCTGGACAATGCTAGACAGGCACTCTAGTCGCATAACGGCAGCAGAAATGAGGTTCCTTCGCAGATCTGTTGGCAGAACTAGAAGGGATCGCATTAGGAATGAAAGCATTAGAGAGCAGCTAGGAGTTGCCGAACTTAAAACTACTTTAGAAAGACGGCAACTCCAGTGGTTTGGACACGTCTGCCGCATGAATGAGAATTTGAATCCTATAAGGATATTAGAGGCTCGACCCACAGGAAGGAGACCACGCGGACGCCCCAGACTCACGTTCCAGGATTACATTCAAAGGATTGGATGTAAAAGAGGCAAAACCCTTAATGAGATGAAGCGACTAAGCAGGGACCGGGAAGAGTGGCTGCACTGGTTGAGGCTCCTCGACGCTAATTAATGGCATAAGAGGAAGACAAAGAAGAAGAAGAAGTATTATCAAGTATAGTATAAAATAAAATGAAATTAGATTCTTTGGCTTTTAAAACAAATATCAGATTAGTATATGAGATATTGTTGGGAAAAATTCAAAAAGTAGAAGCTTCAAAATTAAGTTAATCAACCAAGTCATAAGCAAAGAAATGAGTTATAAGCTTAAGATCTTTCATCTTATTAATGACAAGGCGAAATGCACTATGCCTTATATGTTACAACTTTTTTGTCAAATCAACTAACTGGATGTGATATTTTATATAGTACTCTATTCCAGCAATCTCTTGGAACAGCCCTGATGAAGGCCTGAATTTCAGGTCGAAACGTCGGCAAATGTTAAAATAAATATTATTATTTATTTTTGCCTTTTTATTTCTGACTGGTCTCCCCAACCATCCTTCTCTTCGATATTTTATATCATTGAATTTACAAACTTTTTTCGAAAACAACTGCAACTATTTTAATTAAACTTATTATATCAATATAAAATCAAGTAGTCTATAAAATTAAGCAGGTTTTATCTTCATTGAAATGGTGTGACAGAGCTTAAATGCATAATTTTCAAAATTTCTTCCTCTAGAGTACCTTTAATAAGTTTATATAAAATCATTCAAATTGTAACGAATAATAACAAAATGGTTAAAAATAAACCATGAATGAATTTCATAATTAACTAAAGAAGAAATGAGGGTTAGTCATAGATAGAAACTGAGAAATCGGAGAGTTGAGAGCTCCCTTCTCCACAACTTCGCCTGATTCCTCTCCATTTAAACCACTCATGCCAGCATAAGGTGTTCTTATGGTTATGTATTGTTGGTTTAACTGTTTACTTATTTCACTTATTTTTCATTAAAAAAAAAAAAAACCTTTCACGCATATGTAACAACTAATAAACAATACATGCAATATTAACTTTTATCTTTCAACATGTTTTGCGCCATACTTTTTTTTATTTTTCTTAAGGATATATTAGATTTTTAATGAAAAATGTTACCTCATCAAAAATTTCTAACATTTGAACTGGAGCCTCTGGAAGAAAAAAAGCCAGTACATTTTCTTTTGCAGCCAACACAGGAAATTCAACTTCAAAACTTGAATAATTTGATTCACACATATGCCTTATTTTGTCCTTGTATACAAATGACCCTTTTGAATTAACAGTATTCCTCAAAAAATTCCTGTCAAAAAAATAAAGTTTTAATAATTAATGGATCAACATCAGCAGAAACAACAGAATAATGAAGTCTTAAATTTCCCTGTTTTACATTCAACTCTTGACTTAAAATTAATTAAGATTTTGACAAGAATGGTATCATTTTATTTTATGTCTTGTAAATTAAAATTATGAATTCTCTTACCTAAATCTATTAGCTATTTCTGTACGAGGTCCAAGCATAGTAACCCATTCCTTTATTGAATGTCCTTTAGTATCTTCCAGATTTTCAATTGATTCAATCATCTAAATCATTAAAAAACAGAAGTAGGATTTGGAAATGAAAATGAATCAGGCATTCAAAACTAAAAATTACTTATTAATAACTACGTCAAGGACTGCAAGAGATAATTTAATAACTCACTGGTTCATCTTCAACAGTGCCAACAGCGGCCTTTTCAGCACGCCTTCTTTTTCTGCTAGGAGCTTCTTCATCGTCACTTTCATCTAGGGAGAAATTGATTTTAACATACAATTTTGTTTAATTTTAATAAATAACATAATTGTTCTATCACTTAATAGAAAAGCAGAAAAATAATACCATAAAGTAGATCTTCATCTCCTCTAATTCTTCCTTCTGCAATATCACGTTGTTCAAGAAATCTTTCAGCGGCCACTCGATCAGACTGTGAAATTGGATCATAGTCAGATTCATCAAGATCAGCTGCATCATATCGATCCAATAAGGGATTAGGCCGATAATCACTAAAAAATATTAGAACTTTTAGACATTTAATTTTCCTTAACATAAAACTTAAATTAAATTAACATAATTAACATTATTACTTAAACATACCCAACCTCATACATCACATGAACATTATGATTGCCCACAGGCAACATCAGAGAATCAATGATACTACTCAAATGTCGAGTTAACTTTTATAAAAAAAGTCTTAATTTAACATAAAATACATTTACGAAGATATATGTTATATTTTAAATTAGTTTACGATCAACATTCCACTAACTCAATCATCCACATATAAGCTTCTTTTTTTTTTTTTTTTTTTCCATATAATAACTTCTAAATAGCTAATTTGAAAACAAAATATACAACATTAAAGTTAGAAGGATACTGAAGGAACAATTACTCATGAGAGTTGAAAAACTTTATTGGCATGTATAAGCCTATGGAATAGAAACTTGAGAGCGTCCGTTCCAAACCACTGTACCACTCTGGCATTAATCCTCCAACCTCTCACCCAGCCCGAGAAAAATCCCGTAAAGGAAGGGAAAAAATTATGGAAAAGTGGACAAACATCAATTTCATCTGAAGAATGTGTTCCTACCTTTACTGTATTCATAAAACATAAAAACAGTAATTCTCTCTATGGCAGATACAGGACATGATTTTCATGCCTACAAAAGGAAGATCAAACACCGAACGACACATTACAGGAAACTATCTTAAAATGTATTTGAAATTCTAGGGAAAGTACACTCAATAAGTATTAAGATTATGATAAATATGGATATCAAAATGAAAATGAACACTAACTTTTCCAAATTATCGCCAAACAACTCTTCTCCATCTTCCTCTTCTTCAGCCAAACGGTCTGCATCCTCAATCGCTGCTTCACCTCCAAACATTTCAGTTTCATCTTCAAACATATCACCACCTTCATCTTCATCATTTATTGGAATCCCTCTTCTGGTTTCATTAGATTCTGAATCACCAGTTTCCTTAAAAGTAAATATTAACACAAAATTACATTTAAAACGTTGAAATAGAATTCATCAGGATATAATTAACTTTAATAAAAGAATTATTACTCACAGACATTATGAATTAATTCAAATTACTTCCAGACAAATTGCCTAACACTTGTTGATCCACAACACACTAATAAAATTTTACGCGGGGAAACGTAAGTGCTGCCAACTGTGAAATAAATAAATAAAACTCTGATTTAATACTAATTAGAAACGATTCATATTTTTTCTGCTTTATTACTTAAAAAAAAGTAAGATTCTTCAAATATTTAATGAATACCTTTTTTTTTTATCTTATTTCATAAATCAAAGAAGGTCTATGTTGCAAACTTGATACAGTTTATAACCTTTCTCAGTGACCGGTTAAGGTTGCCCATCTCAGGAATTGTTTTGTGTTTATGTGTGTTAATAGTCATGTGGAACTTCGAAGTAACAGAACTTTTGGTTTCACGTAGAGTTTGTCAATTGACGATGGTACATTAATTAAGAATTGTTTTGTCCAGTTTCTCATAAAAATTAAAAATGTCTCCTACTGTTCCAACTACCACAAATGTTGATAAGAGGCCAACACTTGTCAAACCACACTCTGCTGAAAGAAGGTTTTATTCATTTTTTCCTCAAAACTTTTTATATTAAAAGATTCAATATGTCATTGATTTTATCTGTTGTATTTTTCTATTAAATGTTTAATTTTTGTTTTTAGATTTTATTTATAAGAGTATGTATTCTTTATACCTGGTTAAAAATTTTGTTTTAATTTTAGATCAGAATTAGTTTGCCGTGTCAAGTACTGCAACACTTTGCCTGATATTCCGTTTGATCCAAAGTTTATTCAATATCCATTTGAATCCACTCGGTAATATTTTATTTATTTGCATCTTATTTTCTATGTTATTCTCATTATAAAATTTTGTGTTAGTGTTGTTGTTTTTTTTCTTTTAAAGGTTTATCCAATATAATCCCACATCGCTAGAACGTAATTATAAATATGAAGTTCTTACTGAACATGATCTCGGGGTTACTATTGATCTCATTAACAAAGATATGTATGCTGCTGATCATAATGCAGTACTTGATCCTGCTGATGAGAAACTACTTGAGGAAGATATCCTCACACCTCATGATTCTAAAAGGTAACGGGAATATACTTGATTGTATTTTTAAGTATACAAATAGAATATAATTTGTTAGTAATTTGATCTTCATCAATTTTACATGAAATCATATAACATCACAGTTATTTACTGTAGTTATATATCTAACCATGATTAGCTGATTTGTTTCTATTGATTTTTCTCTTATTATTTCTAATATCAGATCAGTTAATTAGTTACTTCTGTACTATTTCACAAGTGTCATTCCAACATGATAGATGAGCATAAGTAGACGCGATTTTGGAAATGGCGGAGTTTGTTCGTAAGTAGATGGAGATAACTAATCTCCATATTAAAGCACCAACTTCAAGTGGAAGGACCCATTGGGGATTAGTTTGTATATCTCTCATCATTAAAAGGAAGTCTATCACTTAGAACATTTCTTCTCGAGTAAAGTTTGTCGATACTCTGTCGTATTCCTAATTCCTTCTACAATGTGATGGTGTGATTTCCTTTACCATGTTTTAATGACACTTGTGAAGTAGTGCCATTGTTTGTGATATACAATCTAAACTGTTAAGTTTAAAATTATTTATTTTGTTAAATCTTTAATTCAGGTCTAGACATCATTCTCGATCAGTTTCATGGCTTCGTAGAACTGAATACATTTCCACCGAACAAACACGTTTTCAACCGCAAGTTATGGATAAAGTTGAAGCCAAAGTTGGATTCAGCATTAAGAAAAGTCTTAAGGTATTTTTCTTAAACAATTTTTTGTGTAGCTATTAAAATAGTAATGATTGAAAATATAATCAATTATCAAATTTCACTTATTCTAGAAATAGTTTTTCCTTATTTTCTATTGACTCACAAGCAATTTTTTTTTTTTTTTCAATTAAACACATTTAAAATAAATAAATTTCAGAGGACTGTCAAATTTTGTATGTTACGAATAAGCAGTGCATAGTCCATCATGCACAAGTAATTAAAAAAGATTTAGGAGGAATTTAAAAATTCTAATCTGATAAATATATTTATTTAGATGTTTGTTATATTAGTACATTGAAATATTATTGTGTGAATGTAAAATATATTATATATAGTCTAAGTCAAAACACTTTTAAAAAAGAAATACCATGCATATAGTTCAGAAATAAATATTAACGAAAATGTGTATTCACCTATCGTAATATTGAAAGCTGTTATATTTTTTTGGCTTTTTGCCCAAATTACTTTATGCCACTTGTGAAATTTCAAATTTAATGATATCCAATGAAATAATAATTGTAATTAACATACATTAGCTCTTTAAGTGGACAGGTTTTGTTTTTTCTTTATAAGGAGTGCAAAAATGGATGATTGATAAGAAAGAAATTAATTTATTGTTATTTAAATATATCTTTTGTTAGTTTTTTATACTTTATCAACTTTATTGTATTTTTTTTTAAAGGAAGAAACTCTTTACATGGATAGAGAGAGCCAAATTAAAGCTATCGAAAAGACATATGACGATGCTAAACTACCTATAGAGAAACATCATAGCAAACCTAATGTCGTTCCGATAGAGGTTCTTCCTGTGTTTCCAGACTTTCAGGTACTTATTTCTTCTTTATTTTCTAAACACAAAAAGTATCTCAATTGAAAAAAAATCTAAGTCAATTTTAATTTAACTAATGTTAATCGTTTAAAAGGAGTTGTGTTATGATTAGCATCACTACCCGACTTATTTTAGTGAAGTTAATAAGTCCTCTAAAGATGTTAAAATCTGTCAAGCTGTCTCTAAATAGTTTCATTATAGTCTATTGTAATAATGTTCTTTGGCAGTGTATGACAGCCGCCTTTTTCTGGTGTTCTATTGAGTTGATTTTCCTTGAAACGCCATAAATTTTCCTTTAGAAAACAAAAAAATACAGGATCATTGGATTGTTTATGCACCAATACTGCATTAGTTAGAAAATTATGCCCAAGTATATTAATTTTAAGTAAATAAAGGTTTAGTGAACTCGAATGTATGACACCAATCAACCCAACAGTTCTTGCCTACAGGTTTTTATTTGCATTGTTTAACTTTTTAATGGTTCGGTCTTTATCCTTCTGATAGCTTTACAAACCCATTTGATATGACATGATACTATCACTTCAATTCTATTTACTTTGTGAATTTTCTGCAATTCAGCATTGTGTAGCCATTTAAATTCTCTAGTTGAATTATCCATTTTAGGTCCTAATATTTTATACACTCTCTTTTTCAAAATTTTTCTCTTGATGTAAGCTGCCACCAAAGAGCAGAAATTATACTTATCGTATAAATTCTAACTTACAAGTTTTTAGAGAGAAGAAGCTAACTTATTTTTATTTTAATTTATAAGATTTCTCAGTAGACTATTTGTACCTATAGTGCTCATTTAAGTATTTTTAAAATGTATTTATTGTTCTTTAATTACTTTATTATTTTATTTCAGTTATGGAAGTATCCTTGCGCTCAGGTTATGTTCGATTCTGATCCTGCACCAATAGGAAAGACCGTACCTGCTCAGCTAGAACAAATGTCTCAAGCTATGATCAGGTAACTTTTAGCATGCAATTTATTATTTATAGGATTCCAAGTAGATATGTATAATGTCCTACTAGTTGGTATTATGCTCCAGTTTTGGTTTTAAATATGTTAACTCTTTGACTGTGAGACTTCATAATGCGTGTTTCTTCCCGATGGCGGGTTCTAAAATCCCAAAAGACGCACGGAAAAACGGGTTTTTTTAATCGCTTAAATTTGTTTAAAATACTATTTTGAGTCACTCTGAAAGATATTAGCTAGCTGTGTGCACTGCCTTGAATATTGTATGATGTTATAATTGCAGTAGTGTGTTGTTATGCAATCCTTTACATCACACTACTGCATATACCAGTATTGTCATAGTGGCATGAGAAGGTGGAAACAAATAAAAAAATATATATTAGCTTTCAAAAGTGCATTTAAAACCTTTTTATTTAAATTTGGGTTCCGAATAAATCTTCAACTGATAGCTTCCAACAAATGGTCAGAAACCGGAACAACCGCATTGAGTGAGCTCCTAATGAATGAGGACTAATGATAAGGATGAATCTAATAAGAACTAATGAATACTTGGACCAAGCCACAAGGTGAACGGTGGAAGCAGGGCTTTCCCTTACTGCTACAATTGGCAATAGCCGAGGGGAGAAGGTATATATCCTGGCCGCCCTAGATACCCGACCGCCGGCCAGAAAGGCAGGTAGTGATCCAAATCCTAACAGGAAGGCAGTTATCCTGTCCACACATTCAAGGCATTAATACCATTAATTAATGATTAATAACAATAATTATTAACGAATCATTGATAAACAAATTTGGACCACTTTGTATGCAGCAACTTCTTTTTCTTCATGCACAGTGTCTCTCAGCGTGGAGGGATCTCAATCTGAGGCCAGTTTATAAGCTTTGAATCAACTAATTCTCTTTTACTTGATTCTGATTAGCCCAGCAAAAGGTTTCCATAATTCAGAGCAACAACACCCAGTTACCTGGCCCCATACCTCTAGTTCGTTCACCGATCCAGCCATCGACAGGGATTGATTACTGTCATCTCAAGCTAGGTTGCTCGGCTTAGTAGGATCCACCATGCACAGGTGAGAGAGGAGTTGTGGTGGAGAAGCTAAATATACAACAACAAAACTCTGAAATGTAACGTGTAATATGTTATAACAAAAATATGCAGTATGCAAACAAAAATTATGATAATAATGATAAAATATTGAGACAGAAATACTTAAAATGAACCAAGGATATTTTTTTTTTAAGTAATTTTAAATTCCAACAGAAAAATAAACTAAATATTTTCAATACTGGTATATTTATAATTGGAAAACATAAGAGCTTTCTATGGAACTGAATTGTTTTAGTAGTTAATAAATATTTATGCACAGAATAGAACCTTTCTATATCAACGGGCGCAACCTTTCTATAATTCTTTAAAGGGGCATTTCAGGAAAACTGCATGGTGTAAAGAACCACAGAAAATTAATTTTTTTTCCCTTTAAAAGCCAGTTGGAAATTTACCTATTTTGAAATGGATAACCCAACTTTCCTTGCCATAAATAAAAATCTTTTAACAGCTGTGTTAAGCAACACAACCCAATAGTTTTAGTTCTAAAGGAAAAGAAGACTTAGCTTTTAGTATCACTGATTGTATCTGTAGGTGTGTCAAACTATAGAAAATGTTTCTAGTTGTGTTTGCTGCTCTTATTCATTTTTCCTAAAATATTTCCATAGTAAATTTCTAAACAAAATTAAACAGTTTTTGGTACTACGAAGCCTACACTCATTATTGGGCAATTTATGACTAACTACTTTTACTTTATTTAGAATGGAGCATAATTTTATCACTAACAGTTGATAAAAGCTGGAAACATGATTAACACCATGTCAAATATTAATTGAAATAAAATTGAACATTTAATTCAATTTTTACAAAACAACACAATTAATCAAAATATTCCTGTTAAGCCTAAATGTACTCAATAATCAAATTCTGTTCAAATATGCAATAGAAAAATTTCCAAAAGATTTAGTACTATCTGTTTAATATGCTTTATTAAGTTGTCAACTCATATATATATATATTTTTAATCATGCAAATAATATATATATTATAGATATTATAATATAAATATTTGCATATGAACATAAAACTTAATAATTAGTAATCTAATTAAAGGTATAAATAAAACATTAATCATTCTTTAGATAAAGTCCTGGAACTATTAGGTCTGTATATTTTTATAAGTTTATTTATTTTTATATTACTGAGTATAATTCTATTTCCACAAAATATTATGAAAATCTTTAAACTAATTTTTTTCTATTTAAGGGGTGTGATGGATGAGAGTGGAGAACAATTCGTAGCTTATTTCTTGCCTACTGAGCCAACTTTAGAAAAACGTAGAAGAGATTTTACAAATGGTATTGATTATGAAGACGAGGAGGAATATGACTACAAAATAGCAAGAGAGTATAATTGGAATGTGAAAACTAAAGCTTCAAAAGGATATGAAGAAAATTATTTTTTTGTTATAAGGCATGATGGAGTATATTATAATGAATTGGAGACAAGGTATGTAATTCTTTGTTACAGAGATTAAATATTATAGATATTTTCTTAATTTAAGATTTTTAATATGACTACTATTCAAAATTAAATCCCTTGTTATATGAAACTAATATATTTAACATTTGGTTAAAGGTATCTCAACTTCAATCTATGTTCATTGTACATTATTAAAAGTCCATCTAAAAAATCCATTAAGAAAATTCTTTTTTATATAATATCTAGTCTATTATTTGAGTTTTTTCACGTTGCATGTATATGTATAATAAAGGGGAAAAAATAAGGAAGAACTTAAATTGGAAAGTACCATAAAATCAATTATAATTGATCCAGACATAGTTGTAAAATTCAACAAATCTATAAAAATAAGAAATGTAAATATTTCTTTGCACATAACCATTAATCTCCAAAAGTTCTTCACCAATTGTTTTGAAATTTTGATATATTTCTATCAAATTCAGGAGTGCTTGTATATATATGTATATATATATATATATATATATATATATATATATATATATATATATGTATGTATGTATGTATGTATATATAATATATATAAAATAAATATATATATTTATATATATATATAAATATATATGTATACACACACGCACGCACGCATATTTAATTTCCATCTGTACTTTCATTTTGGAGAGGCAGCCAAAAAAAATGTGGCACCAGCATCCAGCTTCCCCGAAAAGAGGATGAAAAAAATGTTATCATGGATTCAGAACTATATTTACAAATAACTCAAAAAGTGCACAATTTTTGTTGGATTATTTAAAAATTTCTATGATTATTTACTAAAAACTATGATTATTTAAAAACTTCCCAAATTCCATTTAAAATTAAAAAAAAAGTCATCGAAATAGGACAATTTGGTGCAGAAATATAGCGTTTTAAACATTTAGTAATTTTACTTCTGCAAAGACTATTTCTTTTATTTTGGTTCTTGATTTATCGAAAACTTTACATTTACTCAAGTAATTGAGATTATCATTTGAAGAAGTGACATAAGAACTCCTTATCCAGGTCAAATTGTAACATAAAATTTTTATATTTTTCTTCTCTGTGTAGGGAAAGTATTAGATACTCCTCCAATATTTAATATGCAATTATTTAACAATAGTGAGCCATTGAGTAATAATTATCAGTGTTTATGTCCTAGATTGCTTTGGAAAATTAGTATTTTGTAGATTTCGGTTTATTTTATTTTTGATTAAATTATTTTGTGTTGTATTAATGAACGCTATGGTAAACTGTATAGGTCAATTCCAATGTAATACTACATTTAATATTTGTAAACCTGAAACATTTAAATGGTATCGTAAAATAGTTTAAACAGCATGTCTTGCTTTTATATCCAACAGATGGTGCTCTTTGAAAAAAATAAATAGTTTTACCTGATATTTTATTATAGCAAGTTAATAAAACCACGCATGCCCCTATTCTAATGCAAGGTTAAACCAAAATTTCTAAGCATTCGGTGAAGAACTTTATGAGACAAACACTCACATTTTTATTTGACATAAAATAATTAGTACAAAATTAAACAACATGTTAAATAGATAATTAATTATTTATATGATTAAACATATGTAAATTGTTTGCTTTCTATTTTCTTTCTTTTCCATTTAGCCAGACTGAGCCACAGCAATGTGTTGCCGGGTAAAGCTAGTATTGCATAAGAACTGACTTTTCGAGTAATTGGCTACGATATTTATTATACATATCATGTCAAAGTTAAGCTTTTACTTCTTATATTTATGAAAAGATTTCATATTGACTATAATAAATGATTATTTGTTGTTGTTCAATAATCTATCAATTATGATAGGCTCTGATGAAAATGAATATTACTCCATATAAATAATTTAAACAGAGATAATAGTTTATTAAATTTTTTTTAAGGGTACGTCTGAGTAAAAGAAGACAAAAGGCTGGCACTGCTCCAAATAATACTAGATTAGTTGTTAGACATAGGCCAATGGATGCTAACGAATTTAACATTCATCGTCTAAGGGAGAAGCAACTTCAACATCCAATTGAAGAAGAAGATGAAGAAGAAAGTGCTGGTAAATTTCTAGTTTTTTTTATTCCTAATTCTTTTACTTTTTTAGTCTGTGCATTATATGTTCAATTTTTTTTTTTATTATTCTGACTTCATATCATTTACACTTTCAGGTGAAGAAGAAAAGAAAGAGGACGAAAAGAAAACAAATAGCAAAGATACTGATGAAAGTGACAAGGAAGAAGGTAGTGACAAGGAAGGTGGAAGTGATAAAGATGAAGGCAGTGGTAAAGAAGATGGTAGTGGTAAAGAAAATGATAGTGCTAAAGAAAATGATAGCGGTAAAGAAAATGATAGTGGTAAGGAAGATGGTAGTGGTAAAGAAAATGATAGTGATAAAGATGAGGCAAGTGACAAAGAAGCTGAAAGTGAAGCTTCAGGTAAAGAAGACAGTGATCGGGAGACCAGTGATAAAGATGATAGAGAAGAAGGAAGTGGAAAAGAAAGAGGGAGTGGAAGTGAAAAAAGTGGTGAGGAAAGTGAAGGAGAATCTAGTGCTTCAGGTCAGTATCATTTCATTTATTTTCTTTGTTCACACACGTACATTGAATATCCTTTATAACAACCTTAAAGAGACCAGGTAAACTATGTCAGGATAGTCGCTATATCTATGCACCTTTGATGGTCAAGAATGGCCTTTTATTTTAAGAAAACATTTATTTGAAGAGAAAAAAAAAACTATTATTCTTTAGTATCTGTAATATATAGGTCCATCTATGGAGATAGGTATCTTTTGATAAATTAATGAACTTCTTAATGGTTATTCTCTATCTAGACTAATTTCCATTATAACTGTAATTTTCATTAAAATATATTGTGCGATCAGGTGCCAACTTGTATAATAGTCCCATTTAATTCGTGTTGAATTTGTCAGGGTCATGATAATTCTCACGAATGTTGGTCATACTGTCAGAATCTATTCGTTGGTTAACTGAAGGGGAATGCTGGCAGCTTCACTACTACTTTTTTTAAAAAATAGTATTATGATGGGAACATAATCTTTGTATGCTTCTTTGAGAAATATTAGTTTAGATTATATCAAGAGGATTGCGAACTGATTTTAAAAATTATTTGGCTTTTTCCACTAAAATCAGCCCTGATAGCAAAATATTGATGTGTTCTCTGGGTTCTAAACCATTTGAGAAGAACTTGATTGACTTTGTCTTGAGTAGATCATCGTTGTTTTTTGGATTTAAATAATTCTCCACATTCAGCCTGCTCTTGATTAATTTTTTTTCAAATTGATGATTGTTTAATTCCTGAGCGAAACTACTGTTTGACTCTCCCCTCTCTAGTCGACAGCATTTATACAATTTTTCTTCCTCGAAAAACTTTTTTCTCTTCGACAGTGTTATAGAAGCTACACAGGCTGTACTAAATAGAAATATGATTAGGGAATGCGGAATGAAATGAAATTCTATAAATGTAATTTTCATAAGGAGAGGAATTGGAGTTACTAGAAAAGTTTTCAATTATTCGGAGAACCAACTGTCACTATACCCGATAAATTTTTCTAAAAAATCTTGTTAAAACCGATCAGTTGCTATATCCATCAAAAACTGTGTAACAAAAGCCTTCTGAATCATGAGATCTATTATTTTCATCATTAAAGCCGATTTTACAACTATAACAATGTTACATCATTACAACCGATGTTGTTATAAACGATATTCACTGTATACAAATGTATATTTGTGTTGAAGATAATAGGCGTAAAATATCTGGAAAGAAAGTGGTGTTATACTTTTCAAATTTATTTTTATTAGTCGATGCAATGAATAAATTCTTAATTATGTACTAATTTTATATGCAGTAGAGTACACTAGCATTTGACAAAGTCAGGATATTTCAAAACCGGTCTCAAATGTGTATAAGAACCGATTGCAAGGACCAGGTTCAAGTAAAGGTAATATATTTTTTTGTTTAGTCAGCGATGAATCGAGTCTGAGGTATGTAGAGTAAACCCTCCTGGAATATGCCAACTTCTATAAGGTAGTCATTTAAGAACCTTCAAAGAATTGGGGATAAACTGGGTAGATATCAACCATATAACCAGGAATAACAGAGAGTCTAACTAAATGTTGATTCAAAGACCCTGTGTGGTACAGTGACGTGTGTTGTAAATTAATACAGTCTTATAATTTTTCCTTTCAGATTTCTGAAAAATAAACCCAGGTTCGCTTTTATTTATTAATTTTGTTTCTTTTAGTTATTATATAGCCTACTCAGACTTATTACTTTTACATGTTTATTTTTAATTTGGTTGTTTGTTGTTTAAAAGGCATTAGACCGTTAGTTCATCAACGCCTACTCGCACTTATTTTGTTTTATCCATAGTTATGAAAGAAACCTAATTCTGTATTAGGATCCATAAACATTGTATGTGAATTAAAAGTATTGAATGGATGTTGGTATGTAACTATATTTAAATTTTATTAATTTTTTACGTGCTTGAATAACTTCATCAGTCTTAACACAACCATTATTTTAAAGAATTACGAATAAAATGAATTTAATTACTTGTAATATTCTATTTTATCTCCATTCATGTATTATAATACACACATTAATGTGTATACACAGTGTAACTAATTTTATATTATGATTATAGGTGGAGGAAGTTCTCGAAGTTCTGCTAGTGGTTCAAGTAAATCTGGTAGTGAAGATGAGGATGATTAACTTAACATATATTCTGAGTTGTGTGCTCAAAAATTAGATAATAAATGTGCGTGTACATACAACAATAATATTGTCAGACAAATATAAATATATTTTTTATAATGTTTATGTTATTATTATGTATGTATGTATTGTACTATTACCTTTATTTGCATTGGCCCATTTGTTTCCTTCTTTTAACATTGATTAAGAGAAATCTGCTCTTCCAAAGTTAATTATTTCATCTAAATTTTTCTGCTATAAATTTAATCACAATCTTATAATTTTAATTAAAAGATCAATTAATTCAGTTATTTCAGAAACAACAGATTTAGCATTTTTAGTTTTGAAAACCATACACAAAAATATTTTATAGTTAAATTTTCATAGATAATTATGTACAAATCAACCTACACTGCTGTTCATATAGGGTTTCTTGCCACAAAATATATGTATATGAACAATACACGTGTGCTGTTTTTGAAATTCACTTAATTATATTTTTGAAAATAATGATTTTATTTCATTGAAAAAAGTTATATGTATAAAATCACTGTATCTTTTTTGACTTAAGAATCGTCATCCTTCAGCTCTTAAGGTAAAAAAATAGGATCTGATTCGAATCAACATGCTCTTATTTTTATTTTTATTCTGTTATCGAGGTGCAGTTTTAAGGTTGTCTGATAGTTTCAAAGCCCATGATAGTTAATTGCTTGTTACTTACTACAAAAACATCCATGTCCATTCAACACCTGGCACATCAGATAATTAACTTCCAACCACCCCATATTCAATCTCCTTCACACTTTGAAATCACCCATGTATCCATCTACCCTTACCACTTTCATCCCATCTTCTTCGTCCCTCATACATTCCTCAAAGCACACTTCTTTACTCCCTCTATTACTTGTCCCCTAAATTCAACTCTACCATGCTTCCTTAGTGCGTATCCTACCCATCCACGTTCAACCTCTAGGCCCAGCAGTCGCTGCCTTGCCAACATTTCCAACACATCCTGGGAAATAGTTCTATATACTCTTATCCCCTGGAGTCAGTCAGAAGAAACTTAAAATAATTGCTAATTATTAATTTAATGGTGAGATTTAACACACATTTAAATTTATAAGGTTGGAAATATTTACACCAGTATAATATATTTTATTTATAATTGCTTCAGTAATTCTATGTATTTTATTTTTCTGCTAAAATAGTTTCACCTTCTTTATATCTCTCTTTTTAGCCCCACTAACAATTTGGGTCAACATGTCTATATTGAATCAATAATTAGCAACTATTGATTTTTTCTGACAGACTCAGACGATAGTCCTTGACATATCATAGAGTCAACCATCTTAACATATAAGATTAATAAAATTCATTCTAGATGTCAGTAAATTGAATAATGCATGAAACATAAATAAGAAATGATAATGAATTGGGATCATTTTTGAAAAAACGAGGAATTTAAATAACATTCATTATAATTTCAAAACAATATAACATACATTATTTACAAGAATATAATTTAAAAAAAAAAAAACATTACAACTTGAAACTTATTAACAATAAAAGAATATAATAACTTCTTTAAAAAAATATTCCGATTTTGATACAAATATTCACAGTTAATGACAATTTAATATGAGCTGAAGCTATTGTTATATCCCCTTTAATACAATAATATCTTTGGAATAAAATATACATAAAGTATTATGCGACAACTCGCACTATACAATAATCCTTTCAAGAAACATTGTTGCAGCAAGATCAAAATGAAAAACTGCCTGCAGGAGGTAGGTGAAATTGGCAGTTATCTATGATATTCATATAACTAACCATACCTGCCAACTAATGATTTTTTTGCATGAAGGATATACGGAGCAGATAAGGTCCTGTTCAGAAAATAGCAGAAATTTCAGGCTATAATTGACTTTTATGCCACCAGCTTTGTTGGGAAATTTTTGATTTTTCTGCCTCTGAAAACTGAAGCACTGCAGCAATAGCATTCAGCATGTGTGACTTGCTGGCGACATCACTCGTCAGGAGAAATGAAAGGACCACGTTTTTCAGGTATTCCAGGTTAGCTCCCTCGCGACTCTGACACTGCACAAACCTGAGAGATGAGATAAAAAAAAAAAGTGTTGTAATAACACCAGAATACACAAAAAATCCAAAAGACTATATATTTAATAAACTGATGGTAAAATAAACTTTGATAATAATGAGAAGAGAATTAACAAAATGGTTGTTATGAATTGTGAACTATGGTATAAGAGTTAATACCTATCAACTTGACAGCGAAGTGCTTCAGAAAGTGCCTCTCCACGTGCATTCAGTTGAGTAATTGTTCTTTCGGATTCTCTCAGCAACCCCTCAAGCCTATGTTTGTCTTTTCTCAGCCTTGATAACTCCACATCTCTACGAGCTACTTCTTCGGAATAATGAAGCACAACAGGTCCTTCTTCACCACTCTAGGACAAAAGTTATAAATAGGACATTCAATCAGATATTTATATTTTTTTTTTTTTCAACAACTACTTAATACGTTATTCTTTATTATTTTAATACCCAAACAGTTCATATTTTCTTTTTTATTGTTTTATTTGCCCAGCAAACAGGTTTAATATGTGAGAATTTGGTCCTTTTTCACTGTGCTTACTCTAGCTAAAGATGTCTAATAATTTTTCATTGACTGCTTTTATTATAATTTACCTTTACTGATCCCTAACTAGTACTTATATTTAGGATTATGAAATAAACGAAGTGTTTACACGCAAAGTGATCTAAATGCCAAAAAAAACAAATGTATGAAAAAATAAAACAAAACCAAGTCGTGGCCTAGGTTTGAAAAGAACATTACTAACAAATTGAGTTTTCACTCACAACAAAGTTATCTATGTCCCAAATGAATTTTAGTACCATCAGTTGAAAAATAAAGAAACTATCAGTGTGACAAAGTTTTAACTGTGAAATTTCCATATTGAAAATATTATTAATAAGGGGTACAATTACGTCATCAACAAATGCAAATGTAAGTTCACAGCTTCAGGATATTGCACAAACAAAATGATTGGTAAAAGTAACAAAATATTCATACTACAGTAAATCCATTGTAGTTTTGAAGCTCTGTTTTTCAAAATTATTGCAAATGCAGTTAGGATCGTTTCAAACCAAGGCCATGAAGTACTCAGTAACTAAAGTTTTTTGGCAAATAATAATGAAAATCATATTTCATGAAGTACAATATACAAAAAACATATCCACAACATATAACTTTTTATAGATGGAGATTATTCTTGAGATAAATTGAATCAGATTATCTAATGACTAAATTTTAAATAATTTTTTTTTTTTAGCTAAGATCAGAATTTCAATAACATAACAATGCTTTGGTTAGTAAAACTAAACTTGCTTTATAGTGAAAAATCATTAAGTAACATTATAAATAAAATTAAATCACATGGTAATCAGAGAAATTTTACTAATTGAAATGAAAACTTTGTATATTTACAATTAGTCTAACTATTTTTGATATATATATACACAGATGTTATTTTGATGCATTTATTTAGTTTTGGATTGATACATATGATTGAAAATCACAAATATATACTTGCAAGTTTAAGTCTATCAACTTTTGATCGAGTCTGGCACCCAGGACTGCTTTACAAACTCTGTAAATTCCTACATCCTACATACTTCCTCATTATCCGTTCCTATCTAACTGATAGATCCTTCAAAGTAAATCATAATAATGCCTATTCATCCCTTTTTTCCCAGTCCGCTGGTGTTCCTCAAGGTAGTATCCTAGGTCCTATCCTTTACAGAGTTTATACAGCTGATATCCCAACCCATCCTAACACTGTCATTACCACTTATGCCAATGATACATGTGTCCTATCAGTTAATAACGACCCAACAATTGCATCCCATACTCTTCAATCACACATCACAATCCTTGAAGAATGGTGTCAAAACTGGAGGATAAAAATAAATTCCAATGAATCCCATCAAATCACCTTTACCCTTTGTTGTAAACCTATGTCCTCTTGTCCTACAGTATCCTTTAATAAAACCCCACTTATCCCTGTTGAACAAATTCGATACCTTGGACTACACTTAGACAAACATCTAACTTGGAATCCTCACACAAGACTGAAACGACAAGAAACAGCTCGACATTTCCGACTACTCCAGCACTTACTAGACAAACACTCTAAGCTCCCAGTCAATTACAAAAGACTCATATACATGATTAAAATAAGACCTATTTGGACTTACGGAGTTGAGCTCTGGGGCTCCACTAAGCCATAGAATTCCTCTTGTATCCAATCCAAAATCCTTCGTAAAATCCTCACTGCTCCTTACTTTGTCACAAACAAAATCATCTCCTTAATAATCCTTATGTTTCTGACCTGGCCCAATCCAGATACCTATCCTTCCATAACAAACTTCAGAACCATCCAAACCCTCTCGTTTCTAAACTTGCTTCCTCTTTGATCCCTGACAACCCTCCGACGCGTCTGAAAAGAAGATGGCCTCGAGATCTCCTTTTGTAAATACATTTTTAGAGTGCTACCAGTGGGTAGTTTCTCAACAAGTGATTTCATGTTATTATATTCTTTTGTTCACATTTACTGAATGTATTTTTACTTGTAATACAGTTGTAAATATCATCAATAAAAAAAAAAAGTCTATCAAAATTTTACTTTGTAACTTTTTACGTTAAACTGACAATATGCTTTAAAGCAGGTATTCTCAAACTGAGTGACACGGTATATTTAATTTAAATATTTAATGTCAATTTGGTGAATAGACATTCTAAAAAATAGAAGTTAAAACATATTATGGCATCATACAGCAACCACCACATCTTATTTATTTTATGTACCACTTATTTATCCGATGCACCTACATTACATAATACACAATTTCATTTCTTTATCATTTAATTGTATATTACTCTGTTAATATTAGTCCTTTTAATGACTTCAGAACAAAAGTTAATGTTTAAGCCTGAATTGATTTCTTGTATATATTACTTTGTCAGAAGAGATAGTAGAAGGAATTAGGGATGCTCTGAGATCAGCAAGTTCATTTTCCCTTTCAGCAACTAGCTCCATAGCCCTCTGCCTTTGTTTGGCAAGCTGAGACTCCAAACTGGACAGTTTACCTCTCCACTCTACTTCACCTTGGTTTAACTTCTCCCTACCTATCTTCTTCTCATTCAAGATACTCTGTAAAATATGATAAATTGATTAATTAATCAATAATGAATGTTCCATTTGGTATTTTTTAAACAAGGAATTTAAGGCCATTTATAAGATATTTAAGAGAGTTGAGACATGAAAAGCTAAAGAAAACTATGTTAAAAATTATATATATTACATATTAATACCACAGTGAATAAAACTTCATTTAATGTGTTACTGAACGAGGAAAAGAGAATTTTCACAAGCACTACATAAATATTATACTTTCATTCATTTTCATATTGCCGAGGACCCAAAATTATTGTCTCTTCACAAGTAGTTTCTTTATTAATTATTTGGGTCCTAATAATGAGGATTCTTGAGCTCTCAAAAGAAGTTCAGGAAATCCTCCTCAAATGGCGGAACCTCCAATAAGGAGACCCAGGGTGTTAATTTCAAGTGTTGACTAAAAAATTATATACAGTCAAGGAAGTTAAACAGTCCGCAAAGAAAATTAACCAACAAAGTTCAGCGGTCTACAGACCTCTATTCATCAAATTATTAACAACCATCTAAAACTTTGTGAATGACTTCATTTAATCGTAACACAGAACTTTTTATCTAAGAAAATTCTCAGAAATGGGGGCGTTTTCTCATTAAATTAATCAATTTAATGAGGTAATAAAAACTCTTGAGTAGCCATTTGCTTTCAATAATATTGGGCCTTTAGGTCTATATATGGCATCACAAAAAACAACATATGGCATCAATAGATAATCGTATCATCCAAAATCATGACTGTATTTGTCTTAGCAATAATCTTGATAAAAACTCATGCTCTTGTAAAATTTTAAAGGTTGTTGATAAGCATAAATATTTAGGTGTTACTGTTGACAATAACTTTTCCTCGTAACCCCATATTATGAGTATATTAGAACGATTACGTATATCATTATTCATACAAAATTTATTGCCCACAATTTTCACTCAATAAAGAATGGTTAAAAATGGTGTATAACACATTGTTTGAATCAATACTAAGATATAGGGTTGAATGCTGTGGAGCCAGTGCAGATAGTCATTTATCAACACTCTCCATATTATAGAACAGGACATTGAAAACTATAATATAAAACAGTGATACAGAAGAAAATTTCAAAATAGCTAGAACATTACAACCAATTTATTTGGGAAACGGACATTGAGCTACATGGTTACTTATCTCTTCAACCGAACACCAGAAGATCTGTTAAACTTACCTAACATTAAGGGAACTGAAAAAGAAATCTTTAATTGTTTGGCAATAATAACTTCCAATTGGTAACAATTGAGTGTATTTTTTTATTATCAACGTTACATATTAACAAGTTAGTTTACGTTTCGGGATAAAAGGAAAAAAGAAATCTTTAGTTTGATACTTTCTCATTTTAAAGTTTCAGTTACCTCTAATCCTATGGATCAAATACCTGTGTTTTTTTCCCCTTATTTTATTGTATTATTTTTTTTTTTTTTTTTTTTTTGTAGACTCACTAATCTACAACTGTATTTTAGAATAAGTTTACTATTAGAACATAACTAGTTTTAGTATTTTAGTTTTGTCTCTTCTATATTAATACGTTCTTTTTTATTATTATAGTATTGTACTTAACTGTATATTATTAGATCTCAATAATTATTAATTATTTTGATTTTATTTTTATAACACTTTATTATTGGACTTTATCATTATTTAGTTATTATTATGTTTTATTATTAGACTTTATTCTTATAGAATTTGCGTCTATCAGACACTATTGTTCCACAAGTCACTCCAATTATTGATGAATGATATATAGTGCTATGCTTGTCACATAAGCTGTTTGTCATAAACCTCTACTCCTTCAACTAACACTATTATTCTTATTGTTCACATACTAATATTTATATTTATTTTATTTATTATCTTATATCTTATTATCTCTATGTAATCATATCTATATTTAATCTTAATTATATTTTATATTATATTATATAATGTTATTGATTTCAAATTATTTATTATTCATTTAATATTTAATTTATATTAATTAGATTATCATTCTATTACTTTTCATTATATCATTTATTTATTTCTTATTAATGGCACCGAAAGACAGATCTTGGCATCTGGTCAGAACAAATTGTAATTACTGGTTAGTAAAACTCTCTAAAATAACCTTGTTATTTTGATACATTGGCAGTGTAAGTCAAGCCAAACTGCATAATGTTTCTGTAGACCACCTTTATTTTCGATTTCGTAAATAAATTATTTTACAATGCAAGTGAAAAGCAAATAGGTGTGCAGTACTTTACCCAGATAATAAACAGTACTTTACCGATTATCAGATTGAAAAGGCTCCATTTATGAAAATTTTCATTAATAAAAAAGTTGCATATGATAATGCCTTTCACGAAGTTTTAGACAGATGTTGATAATTTGATAAAAAGAGGTCTGTGCCTCAGACTTACAAATATGCCTATGCAAAAAAAAAAAAACATTTGAATCCATAGTAAGCAATATTATAATTGGTAAATGGTTGACTGTCGCGAATAATGAAGAGAAGAATAGTTGGGGTGATCAGTCAAATAAGAAGGGAAAAATAAATGATATTTATTTTGACATTTGCCGACGTTTCGACCTGAAGTTCAGGCCCTCATCAGGGCTAAGAAAAGAACCAGATAACAAGGTATGAGAAACATAAGTAGTGTAGGTAAAAAAAAAAAAAAAAGTTAAAGTAAAATGCAGTTGTTAGAATAATGATAATAGTAAGAACTAAGAGATAAATGATAATAAGCAGTACAAAGTGTGGAATGATAAAGTAAACATAATCAAAAAGGTGAGAGAAGTATTAAAATGGGAATCTTAGAATAAAATGTAAAACAGAAAAACATGAAGTTATATAAGAAATGGAAATAAACAGTAAAATTAAGATATTGTAAATAGAATAGTTAGATAGAAAATTGAGATGTTGTAAAGTCTATCAAGATGTAAAAACAACGTATAATATAATAAAGAGTTAAAACAGAGAATAGGGATGAAAGGAAGGAGGAAAGAAACTGAGAAGTCTGAAATACGAATGAGAATAAGAAAGAAAAAGAAAAACACACCTGACTGTTCATAAGTTGAAAGTGAGAAAACAAAACGTATTGAGATTAGGTTAGTAAGAAATTGAATTTTGACCTAATTATTCTAACTTCCCCAAATAAGGTAAGAATTGTAAATTTAAAAAATATTGGAATCTACCAATGTTATTACAACCACTTTACTTAAGTAATTATTAAAATATTATGACATCATTATCAAGCACAAGTAATTTTGTTTAAAATAGTTGTGAGTGTGTAAGTAATATGTAAAACACCTAATTCTTTTTAATGTAATGTAGTAGTAAGATTCATTTTCATATCATAGTTGATATGTATGAGATCATAAGAAGCTGACCCTGTCAAATGTTTATCAATATATTTTAAAATAAAACACCATACAATTGAAATAGAAAGAACAATATCTTTTTAATAAGAAAAATGAATCAATTTATCATTTTTAAGAAGAAATAATAAGCAAGTAGGAAATAAAAAAACAAAAAACAATGCATTAGTAATACAATACCTTTTGCAAGGATTCAATTTCTTTCTTATGCAACAATTCCTTTTCATCTATTTGAGCAAGAAGCTCACGAATCCTCGATTTAAGTTTTTTTATTTGTGAACGTAACTCTTCTTCATTTGTCAATCCAGTCCTATAACTGAATAAAATTTAAATAAATATTGTATTAATTGAAAATAAAGGCATAAATTTTTTCAACAATATCACACAATAAAAAGCATATTATTATTTATGACAGCAATATCTCAAACATAATTCTATAAAAATATTAAAATTAAATATACCAAAAAATATGTTTCATAACAATTAAACTAAATTATCAGTTCTCACCTAGGGGTGTCATTATGTTGCGATATTTGAAATTGATGTTTATATCTATCAAATTCTGCTTTCAAGTGATCATATTCTTCCTGACAATGCTTATGAGAATCTTGAAAAATACTATTATTGGGTAAACATTCTGCTAAAATAGCTGAAACAAAATAGTTTTTATAAATTTCTTCTAAAAGTAATTAAAGAAAAAAATGACCCATAAGATACAAAATATATATATAAATACATAGGAATACTAAGTATATATACTTCATTATATTACTTTAAAAAATAATTTTAAAAATATACACAGAAGTTTGCTAAATTGATCAGTTGAGGGACTGTCAAAATATATTTATATTTTGTATATTAGTAATAAACATTACAGTATATTAATATACAATAAATATATTAGTGTACTTGTTTCAATTTTGATTCCGTTCTACATTTGAAGAAAATAATTCTCAAATTTGTTACATTTTATTTATTTTTTTAAAGAAGAATAAAACTTGTTACAAAATACCCATGGTGTTAGAAATATAAGATACTATTAAAACTTGAAACATGGTTTGACTCATTAGATACTGGGCACAAAATACTTTTGAGTTTTTTTTTTATCAAGTTTAATTACCTTTCAAGTAATTATGTAGACTTTTACATAAAAATATTATACTAAAAAAAGTCGGCCTACCTGTTTATGAGATTATAGTACAGATACACAAACCGGTGGCTAATTTTGTTCTATTATTTACCAATAAAAATGGTTTTTTAAAAAAAAAATGATCAGGTATTATGTGAATGTCATGATTTATCAGAGGGAAATTAAGTTTTAAAAATATCAATTGTTTAAAATTCAAACTACTCACAAAATAACCCTAAACTTGCCCCAATAATCTCTAAAATATAGATAACCATTTTAATTAACTGATGTTTTTAATGCTCTAAAAAATCTCTTATAGTACACAAAGTTTAAACAATAATGAATAGTTTAATATAATGTATTTTAGTTAATAATTCTTGTTAAGAAAATTAAACTTCATCACTCAGATATCAGTTACAAGGTCTTGTTATGCTATGATATAAACTTGTAACCAATAAAAAAAAAAAAATTAATAATAATCCATTTATATTTTATTAACATAAAAAGAATAAAAAATAAAAAATTTTTAGCTTCAAATAACTAACTATATAACAATAAATTCACCTTTCAAATCAAGTGGCTTCTCAGAAATTTTATTAGCATCATGGATGATTTGACGAATCCTGTGGGCAATACTCTCTAGACTGTCATCCCCTTTTTCTTCTCCTCTTTCCATTTCCAATTGGGCAATACGCTCCCTCAACCTTGTTATTGCCTCTTGATCAGATTGCCTCAACCTATCGTAGTTACCAACTGTTAATGACAACTCTGCTAATTTAGCTTCCAAATTGGCTACTCTTTCTTCATGAGCAGCGGCTAGCTCTCGTGATCGTGCCTCAGCTTCCTTCACTTTCTCTTGTTCTTTCTGACTTGATTGTCTTAACTGCTGTTTAAGGAGAGCTAATTCGTGTTTTAATTTTAAAGTTGTGGCACCAGAACTCTCTCTGTTATCTTTAAGTCTCTCTCTTAAAGCTTCTAAGTTAGCTACTGCTTCTGCAGCTTCTTTTTTACTATTGTTGGATTGCTCTGTCACTGCAGTCAATTCTGAACGAAGGGTTTCTAAATTGGCCTCTGCTTTTTCCCTCTTAGCTCTTTCCTCAGAAACCACTTTCTGTAACTCCCTTAAAAACAAACCAAAACATTAATTTAATAGACTTGTTATTATAACTAAATATTCCAAAGTACATTAAAGAAATTATTAAATGATATATCAGAAAATATTCTAATATCATACAGGCTTCAATATCTGGGTAAATCCCAGGGTTACTAAAGATTTTATTTAATGAAAAAAAAAAAAAAAACTTCATCTACAATTATCTTGTTCTTTTAACTTTCAAAAGAAATACTGAACATTGACAATACTTAAAAGCATCAACTCAATAATTAGTTCAATAATTAAATCAACCTCATGAAACTTTTAATTTATTTTTTTTCTATTTTTGGAAACATTAACCTAAAGCCTTTCCAAGAATGTCAAGTATTATAATGATGTTCATTGACCAGAAACATCATTTAGGTTTGTAATAAAATCCTGATCAATATGAAGCAGATAAGTTTAGTGCTGACACACCAAATTTAATGTAAATGTAACTAAATAAATCCGTTTAATTTAGTTATACTTCAATTTAAACAAAATGCAATTTAATTTTACAAGAATAATTTATAAAACTAATGATTTGTTAATGTAAAAAAAATTAAATTGAATCACTTAAGGTTCACTAATTTCATCTTCCTTTAAAGGAGGTTAACTTAAATATTATTAACCTAATCATTACTCCATGATCATTGTGTTCTTTTTCTCTTTGATGACGTTCTATAATTAATTTAGACTTAAAATTTTCCATTTCTGAAAGGTGAGCTCTAGTTTCATGATCCAATCTACCTTGCATTTCCTTAATTGTTTTTTCTAACTAAAAAAATAAAAAGACCATAGTTAAAAAAATATTTAAATGACTAATAGATTTCATTTGATCTATCATTACTTCTAATTTTTCAGTTCTCAGCTGCTTTTTGTCTGCTTGAAACCCAGCTTCCATCCTTGACTTCTCCTCAGATAATGTTGCTAAGGAATTCATTAGTGTTGTGAGCTGGTTTTTCAATTGTTCAGTAGTTTCGTTATTTCCTTCTGATGACATCTATATTATTTTAAAATAAGTTAATACAAGAACATACTTATAACAAAAACAAAAAACTTAGCGCATGAATTCCACCACCTCTTCACTTGTTGATTCCTCAGAAACATCAGAAGTGTTGGCATCAATACCTTTAGGTACAGATGAAGACTTGGAAAAAGCTTTTAGACTTGATTCTAATACTTCTTTCTCTTTTAACAGACATTTGTGAGCAGTCACTAGATCTAAAGAAAGAGGAGTTTCAATAACTCTGATGCAAAATTAGTAAGGCAAGGCTCAGGTAGTGGCAATACAGCTCAAATATCTATTTATCTAAGAAATTTCATTAAAATACAATTATGACTTCTTAACCTATTCAATGAAGTTTATTAATCAGGTAAAAAAAATCAAATGTTTTAAAAGATATCACACCTCTGTAAAATAATTTCTTTAATTTTAAACATGCTTAACATACATGTATACATAATAAGTTTGTCATTCTGAACTGAAGTGCTAATACATCAAATCAAAACATTGAGTTTATGTTCTCTTTGATCAAATAAAATCAACAATTTATAAGCAGATTAAACCATACGGGCTATTAAATACACAAATCATAAACAGATAAAATATAAACAATTTAAAAAAAGAAAAGAAAATTAGTTAAATCTCTACTTTTTGCAAATAAAAGTGACAATTACGACAGTGCGTATATATTTATATATACATAACAAAATAAAAATATATATATAATATTGTTTATAATAAAATATTAAGTTATCCATTTAAGAAATGAAAATTATTTTAAATTTGATTTGTTGTACCAAAATATAGAAGCATTTCATTCTGAAATTAATTAGACTAAGAAATGCTAATAGTATGATTTAATAATTATACACGCTGCATGGAGTGCAATAGGCCTAAAAAATCAATTATAATTATTTTTATTTATTTTTTTGTTTAATACAGACCTGAATCCTGAAGCTTAAGCTGGCCACAGACAATAACACCATTTCAAGCTAAGTGGAATGTGAAACAAACATCAGCAAGAAATCCTGTGTGGATTTTTTTCTGTCATTTGGCCCTAAACTCTGTTACAACTAACACAACAAATCCAATCACCCCAACCCACGATGTGTGTGGAAAATAATGGAATGGGACAATGGACTGCACAGTTTTTAGGCTGTATAATAATAATAATAATAATAAAAACTGCTGGCCAGTAAATAAAGAATAGTTACAAAATGGTTTGATATGAAAAGCTTAAAATTTCATTATTTTTTACTATTATTCTTCCTAAAAAAACAAATTTTAATTAAACCGATATATGCATTTTTAATAGATTTTTTATTTATAAAACGATTACAATAAAAATTTCCACTATTAATATTAAATTAATAGTTATATTAATGTGAAAATTGAAATATTTTTAGACTGTAAATATAAAATATGAGTTTACCAATTTTTTCCATGTTATTTAAAAAAGGTGTGACAAAGTTTATCAATAACATTTTTAACAAATAATAAACAAAGTTGCTAATTCAACCCTTCTAACAGTTAATCTATTTTTTATAATACTCATTGGGTATTATAATTATGAGCTCAAAATTTAAGGCTGGAGCCTAGGTGAAAATTTGGAGTATAAAATTTGTATTTTTCGATTGGTATGAAAATTTATATTTAAGGGTTTTTCGACGTGCGAAATACAAATCTCAACTTCGTTTTTACTTAAAAAAATATTTTAACCCACTTTATTCCTTAGGTCAGTACTATTTGTGTCAATATTGAACACATAACTGTAGCTGTGTGCCAAATATTATTTTTTTCTAAACCGGGAAGATATCAAATGTAAGATTATATGCAAGAATTTTAGCATTTTGTCAAGATTCTACCCACTTTTGAAAATAAGAAAAAAACATTTATTGTACATATTATACACATATCACACAATGGAATATATTTTCTGGAGATAACAAAATATGATATTTATTTGTCGCAACCCTAAAAGCCTATAAATAAGCATTTTCGTAGAAATTTAAAATGTAAATTTTTGCTCATTATTCTGCCTTAATTAATAGCCATCTATGTTCAAAACTTTACAGTAAATATTAAAACTGTTAAATATATATTTAAAGCCTTTAATTTTGTATCAAAAATCACAAAAGTCATGATAACTTCGACCTATTATCCACACCAAAATTAGCATGAATTTGGAGGCCTATAATATATAAAAAATGGCACAAATCAGAATCCAGCAAATAAATTAGGCTTGGAGGTAAAAAATAAAAACATTTGGGAACTTTTTATTTATTTATTCCTTAGAAAAGCATGAAATATCAAACCTATCAATATAGTTTTGAAGAGCAATAATTTAGCTTTCCAACAGTTATAGTAACATAGACTTAGGAGAAAAACCAGAGGAGTTATGAATATTTTAGTGAAAAAAAGTCCTGCCATAAAATGACATCCACAACTTTATATTATTTTATTACAAAACAAACTCCTATTTAAGAGTTTTAGTGAACCCTAAAAAAGAATCTGAATAGTTTTTTCATGACGAAAATTAACTTTTTGCCTGCACACTCAAAAGCCATGAGTGCCAAAAATATATCATCAGCTACTTGTTTAGACCCCTGACAATATTCTAATAATTTATGAATACCAGCAATTTTATTTTTTTATCTAGAAAATTTCTGAAGACAAAATACATGGTAGAAACAAAAGAAAGAAGAATCCAGAGTATCTGTTCAAAAGTAGTGATTTAAAGATAAATCAGATTTATTCCGAATATTTAATTCCCCGGCTGTGTGTTTATGTATCATTAAATATTATACTTCTATGATAAAATTAAGGGCAAGGGTGCCCATGGATAGAATCCCTCCCAGGTAAAAATGGCACATATACTCTCTCTCTCTTGAATGCAATTCCTCGCGATTGCAGTTCATATACAATAACAACACTTGCTGTCCTATTAATTTTTACTACCCTTGCTCAAAACGGATAAACAACTTCACAACAGATCTTTTCCAGTTAAGTCCAGGGCTTTGGTATTATCAGGATTCCATTTATAGTGTGATTATAAGATCTTGTGCCACCCATTAAAGTGGAGTAACACTAGAACAGCAGTACACAAGCTATCATTAAAGTACACTATGATACTAAATGTATATTCAGTAAGAAAAATGATTTATTACAGCAAAACAAACCTGAAAACAGTTATTGATGAAAGAATGCATAGTTATTAAAAAATACAACTGTTATCAGGCAACTTGGTATACAAGGCTTTGATATCGAACATATGTTATAAATAAATACCAAACATGAGAATATCCTAAAAAACCTATTAATATAATTAAGACATATGCTTACTACCTGAGACATAAAATACTAAAATAGTTACTTGTTGATAATTACCTTTTAATCTTGTTTTGTAACGAATAAGTTCTGCATTTTGTCTAGATATTGTTTCAATAAGTTCTTTATTCTTTCTTGATTCATCCATTTCAGCTTAAATAATAATAACTACAAACCTTTTTTGAGTTATTCAATTGATAATTCAAAACTTAAGAAGAAATGAAGGCTTTGAAACAGTTATGATCAATTTAAATCACCAACGAAAGATTAACATATTATTCACTTATGTTTAGTGATTACCAGATATAAACAAGTACATGGACTATCATTCCTGTCTGTTTAAATTGAACTAACACAACCTTTCACTAGATAACGATAACTAAAAAATTCATAATCGAAATACTAATCGACATTATTTTCATGAGCACAAAACATTAATGTTTTCAGAACAGAAACCAAATAAATTTGTTTAATTATTTACGATTTCAAAGATAGTTTTTCTTAGATTAATAAAAATAGCATTGTTGATGTGAACGTTGATCTCTTCAATGTTTAAATAAATAGAACAATGATTCGATGTATGCGTTTATCGATTTTACATAACGTTGAACGTAATATCGACTAGAAACCGTGAGGCACGCAAACAAACCTTCTCAGTGATTCAGGTATATTTCTTCTGGCTGTTGGAGCAAGGAAGATATTTACTATCTTTCTTCTGTACTTAGAGTAGGAAGATGGCAAGAGGAAGCAGTGCTGGGTTCGATAGACACATTACAATTTTTTCACCTGAAGGGAGACTTTATCAAGTCGGTAAGTTTCTATTGATTCAAACATAACATCAAAAGTTCTGTTTGGAGCTATAAAATAAGATTAAAATAAATGTTGGAACAAAAAACCTAAAGATTGCAAATAATTAAATCTACATAAGAATATTGTTGAAATTACATTAAGAAATTAAAACAGTGCATTAGACTGGTGTGTTTGGAATAATTTAGCTAAGGTTATAATGAATGATGTTGCATTTTGGAATGAACTTACAACTGTATCATTTAATTTTAATTTACAGAATATGCCTTCAAAGCTATAAATCAAGGTGGTCTAACATCAGTTGCTTTAAAAGGTGTTGATTGTGCTGTTGTAGCAACACAGAAGAAGGTTCCGGTAAAAATGATTGATTTATTTTTATCAATTTTATTTAAGTATGATTTACAAGGTTATATAAAAATACTATGTTTCTTTCAGGACAAGTTATTAGACCCATTGACTGTATCACATCTTTATAAAATAACAGATGAAGTGGGATGCGTGATGACTGGAATGATTGGTATGACGTTAATTATTATGTTAGTTTATTCTACTAAAACTGATTGTTGTATTCAAAATAAATTATATTTCTAGTAATTGCCCAATAGTTTTAATTTCTTCACCAAACTCATATTCTAATACTCTCAGCTATTGATCCAATGACAATATGTTTTGCATTTATTTTTGTTACATACTGTAAATTATTCTCTGTAACTACTTAAACAAAAATTAAGGAAAGGTCCTTTTATCCCTTCACTCTTTTTATTTTAGCATTACTATCAAAATCCATTCCCAGAATTTTATTCAATGTATTGGTTCTTAATTAACTCTGTATATTAAATCTGTTCAGTATATGCGACAATTATTGGACACCAGACAAATTAAAATGCAGCAAATATTAACTATTGCATTTTGCATATCAGGCCATACATCATATTAATGAATTAGTTTGTTTTTTTCCTTGTTCTACCATTCTACTTCCTTTAACTTTTTTTTGTTATGTTCTAGCTGATAGCAAATCCCAAGTTCAAAGAGCAAGATACGAAGCTGCAAATTTCAAGTACAAATTTGACTATAATATGCCAATAGATATGATTTGTAACAGGATAGCTGATATATCCCAAGTCTATACACAAAATGCTGAAATGAGACCACTCGGTTGCAGTAAGTCGTTGATTGGTTTTTCTGGCGATTTAGTTATCAGATGAATGTTATTTTTTAAATAATAAACTAACCTACTATTTTAATGTCTCTTAATAGGTATGATACTGATTGCTTACGATGAAGAGAAAGGAGGTCCTCTAGTTTATAAAACCGATCCAGCTGGATACTTTTGTTCTTACAGAGCAATTAGTGTTGGAGCGAAGCAGATAGAAGCAAATACATATCTTGAGAAGAAACTTAAAAAGAAGCAAGATTATTCACTTGATGAAGCAATTCAAGTAATTAAATTTATTCTAAATTGTGCTTTATGCTTTTCATTTTAAATCTTAGATTTAAAAATATTCCTAATTATTCTTTTCTCATGTATTAATCAATGGTAAATATAGAATAGTTAGCTGACTAAAACAAAAATCTAGTTACTGGTTATTTATATGAACTAAATTGGAACCTAAGGATGCCTTTGTATATCTAACTAAATGTGATAAATTTGTATATAATATTGTTAATGACCTTGTACGCACATTTTAGATGGCTATTTCTTGTCTTTCTACTGTTCTCTCCGTTGATTTTAAACCTTCAGAAATTGAAGTTGGAATAGTTTCCTCATCGGATAAAAACTTCAGGTATTTTAGCCTTTTTTAATTATAATATTTTATGTAGTAATATTTAAATTAGTCATCTATTAATTTTAATCAATTTTATTTACAAACAGGGTGTTAGCTGAACAGGAGTTGGATAAGCATCTTACTGTAATTGCAGAAAAGGATTAAACAGAAAACTTTTCCTACATTTTATATTTTGCTGATAAAGCTATTTAAAAAAAATTTTAACAGTTTTTTTCTCACAATAAATCACTTTGTTATATAATTCTCCTATATCCTCCTCAATACCTGTGGGATTTATTAACAAAGATTCTTCTATTGAAGATTTTTTCTTTTTATAAAGATTTTATTTATTTTTTATGAAGATAATCTGATAAATGATAGTTTAAAAACCTATTTTAGGATTGTAAAGGTCTTTTAGAAACATCTCTTCATTCTTGTAGCTATTGATGAAAGTCAGATTTATTAAGATTTTAGGATGGGAGGCTGTCTTTCTAAATTGTTACTATTCATTCTCACATATTTTATTTTATAGCATCTGAAAGGCGGATTACACTATCTCATCTGAAAATATTTAAAGTATCACATATGCATTTAGTAGATTAACAATTAATTATATTTAATAAATGCTATAAGCATTTATACCTTTCTTACTGTTTTAAAAAAATTGAAATCTAGAAAAATCTAAAATTAAGTGCGTACCTTGATATGATAGAGCCAGTTCTGATATAATACTGCGAGACCTGAACACTAACTTGAAGCCTTGAAAGATTCGTGAGTAAAATCCTTTGCATGATAACTTGAGCAATCTGGAATTGGAGTACTAACACAAAGAGGAAAGACCAATAGATAACTGACTACAGAAAATGATTAATCAAGATCTCATAATATAAAGACACAAAGCTCCGAGCAACCCATTAAATGACTGGACAGTTGGCAGGAGACCACATGGAAAGCCAAAAAGCAGATGGATAGATAAAATCAACAAAGATGTTGCAGATAATCAGAAAGAATCAACCAGAATAAGGCTGATTAAAGACACCAAAAGATATGCAAGGTCTGTAAAATAAATAAAGATAAGCACATTGCATATTTCATTATTTAGTCTATATTTTTAGATATCATATGAACCATTTATCATGAAATCAATGAATTGAAAACATTTCAGACAATACCCAAATAAATGGTTTGAATGACAGTATGTTCAGAATCTTAATGACATTTATTATAGCATGAGACTGTGAAAAAGAAAACAATTTTAGATAAAAAACCTTTTATATCTATGGTGACAATGGTTATAAAACTAAAAAAGAATAGATCAACATGAAAGTAAAACAATTGAAATTGTAAAATAAAATTTAACAGTAAGAGAGATGGCAAGGGATAAAAGATGTAAGTGAGAATAACAAATAGATTAACACCTTTTATCCACAATAATATTTAGCTGTCAAACAATTTTAAGTAATTATAATTATATATAAATTCTCTTGATATATATATATATATATCAATACAAAGATGTCCAGAGTTAAAACTTTTTTTTTTAAGTTCCATTTTAACAGTTTCTGTGAAACGTTTTTGAAAAAAAGTTCTAAGGAACTATTTTGATAATGAAGTTCCAGATTTATGGTAAAAGTAATAAATAAATTCAATTTCTTAAAAAAAAATTCTGTAGAATGAATTATAAACTGTTAGGGTTTAAATTAGATTTATAATTTGTCTTAAATGGATTACATATAATCCTAATGAATGAAATAATATTTTATTATTCTGGGAGTGTTGTCCCTTTAGAACAAATTATAAGTACAGATTGTATGTTTGTGGGGTTACAATAAGATTATATATTTACAATAACATTCAAATAAAAATACTGAAGAAGAGAAAGAAAAGAACAAGAAAATTGTACATACATATAAGAAACTAAAATAACCTAAATAAATTGAGGTAGTCTCTGGGGGGGCTTAGATATTTCTCTTAAGTATATTACACAATCAGTTGGATTGAGAAAGGAGTAGGTGTTTAAAGAGGAAACTGATTGAGAATTTGAAATATCAGCAGGGATGGAATTTCAGAGAGAGGCGGCTTGTATTGCAAAGGATTTGCCAGACGCAGCAGTTTGGTGAGGAGGATAGAGGTCGGAAGTACGAGATCTAGTGGGATGGGATTGGATGGAGTATTTGAATTGTAAGCTGTGAAAAAAAAATATAGGAGAGTCGATGGGTCCTAATATCTGGTACAGAAAGGTGGCTAAGAAGTACTGACAGCAATAGGATGGGTAGAGCCACCTCAACTTAGTGAAATACTGGGTAATATGCGTATCTCTTGAGATCCTGAAAACAAATCGTAGTGCGCAATTCATTAGGCGTTTAAGTTTGGCCTCGAAATCTCCCGAGAGTCCATCATACAGCCATAGTCGACGTGGGGGAAAACTAGGAAATGACTTATATGAAAGGAGATATCATAGACGATTGAACGGTTTTAGGGTGGAGATAGTGCGATGGAAAATTTGGGAGATGTGTGGTTTCCAGGATAGGGTTTGATCAAAAGTAACACCTAGGTTTTTAACATTGGTGTGGAATAAGATAGGTGAGTTGTTCAGGAGGAGATTGGGAGGTACCGGGTAGGATTTGAGGAATGAGGGGGATCCGATCAAGATGACATTTGTATTCTCGGTGTTCAGAGTGAGCCTGTTGAGGTTTGCCCAAGCACTAATTCTGTTAATGTCTTCCTGATGTATTAGAATGGCATCTGAGAAATCGGTCGGATTAAAGGAGAGGTAAATTTGAATGTCATCGGCATACAGGTGGTATTGACAGTGCAGGATAGAGGATGGGAGGTCATTTATATAGATGGAGAAAAGGGTGGGGGATAAGGAAGAGCCTTGTGGGATGCCTCTGGACAGAGGTAGAGATTCTGATGGGGGGTTATTATGAATTACAACATACTGGGAGCGACCGGTAAGGATTGGAACCAAATAAGGGAACTAGAAGAAAAAAAGAGATTTTTAAGTTTGCTTAGGAGGATGTTGTGGTCTACTAAATCAAAAGCTTTCGAGAAGTCTAGGATAATAAGGATGGTTAGTTTCTGCTGATCTATGGTTTTGTGAACGTCTTGGGAAATTTTGATTAGTGCAGACTGAGTAGGATAACCAGTGTCATTTGTTTGAGTATCTATTAATAAGAGTCAATTTTTAGATATAATTTTTACCAAAATCAACAGGACTTGGAAATAAAACTTCAATAAAACCTTTGCTTTAAAAGTTAAAAGAGCAAAAACTATCGACAATAAAAATTCCACTGATACTGAAAATTCTTAAAAATTTAAGTTTCTTTTTCATTTCAAGTCCAGAAGGTACCAAATAAAATTTACAAAAGGATTGCTGGAAAGTCAATTCGTCTATGCACACCTACCAGTTCTTAATAGCCATGAAAATACTAGAAACAAACTAAAAAATCAAATGATCATTTTCTCATTTGTCTTCATAAATAAATATGAAATATTACATCATCATTTATAGCAACAAAGACAGTTTAGTTAATAATTTTTTTTTCAAGGAGGCCAGAGCCATTGAATCAATAAAAAATATATTCAAGACGGGTACAATAGTTTGGCAATCTATATGTTATATATAATGCATCCTTTCTGTCCTCCTTGGGGTTTGTAAGAATATTAAACCTCCAAACAACTCTAGTTTATAATCTGTCTCACCTTGCTCATCAATATTTGTCTTAAAGACAATTGGTAAGCCATTTCTGTGAAATCGCATGGCTTTCACAAAGTATTATCATTAGTCAGGGATAAATCAGGCAGTTGGAACAGGTCTAGTTTGATAACATAGACATTAACTTTTGTTTTTAATGGTAGATAATACTTTTCACAAATAGATTATGAAGAGCCATATAAAAAACACAAATTCCAGTGGAATAGATCCTACATAAACACCTGGAGATATCTACAAAGATTTTATGACATAGCTTTTGAGATTGTATTGAATAACAGTGTAGTCACTGTAAGTTAAAAAAATAGTTAATTAACTGGTCTGATGTACCATCATAGCGGGAAGTAGGGGGCAGGATTCGATTCTATGATGTTCACTTAAAAAGTACAGTGCTCTGAGCACTCTAATATAGCGGCCCTCATTCATATATTTAATAACAATTAATATAACATGACTTTGGAGTGAAGTCAAAGCTCCTGAGCTTTTAATAAATTCCATAGTGCCTGGAGCAATCCTGCTGTATTTTTTCTCAGAACTTTCATCCAAATGACTATAATACTTGTCCCATTGAAAACAGGAGAGAAATTCATAGTTTAAAAACACAATATACACATTAGTTTTAAAACTACAAATAATGGGACTATGAAAATTTATATATACAGCTTTGACTGTACGTATCTACACCAAACACGTTGAGTCTGATATACCCTTTCATCCCAGAATGATAACTTGAATGTTACTTTGAAAAACAAAAAAATCAACATCTAATTTATGGCTGCAAACCACTAGTGACATGTGGGCCAAGTATAGGACGCCTCTGTTAACAATAAATTTCAATAATGAAGTAAATAAATATTTACATACAAACTTATGAATATATAAGTTAGTAAAAGAAATTTAGTTCAAACATTTAATTGTATGCTATTAAAAAAAAATTTCAATATTATTCTAGATTGTGAAATGGATATATTCGGGTTGGAGATTATTACATGCAAGCAAATAAAATGTGCAATAACCAAAATCGGTCATCAGGAAATCCATTCTCTAATCATCATTTAATTTCTCTCTTTTATATTTATAATATATCCAGTCTGAATTTAAATAAAACATTGAAATTGAACTATTTAAAAATAAAAAACTGTTTTTAAACTATTCAAATTGGTCCTTTTCTTAAAATAATTTGCAAATGCACCATACAGCAACATATTTTATAACTCTGCCAAGTAAGCCAACAAGGGAAAATATGGTGCATCATAAACTGAGAACTTTTTGAAATAATTTTGTTTTTTTCTTTTTAATTATTTGTTTTATTTATTTATATAGTTCTTAAAAGTTGAGTAACAAGTGTAATTATATTAGTTAAATTATATTTGAAATCATACATAATCAATACTAATTATTTATAGTCTCGCCTTTAAAATGTATGAAGAAATAAGGATTTTGTTAACCTACCTCTTCTGGATATAGATTTAATGAAGTATATTGCCTATGTATAATAGGGCATTGATAGGTATAATAAAGACACATATATTTATTTACACACAATAATACAAAATGAAATTATCATTTTAAACAAATAAGTAAAAAAGATAAATTAAAAAAATTTATTTTCCTGCTGCAGTAGCAAGTGGATTTCTTAAGACAAGTATAACTGAATCACCTCTTAAAAACATCTTTGAAATAAATCTGTCTTTGTTCACGGGTTTGGCCTACAAAAAGAATTAAGAAAAAATTAAAAACAAATGGCTTAATGCTCAACTATAACTCAAATTATAATCAATAATAACCTTCTTCTTCCCTTTTCCTGTTCTTGGTAATTCTGTCCACATTTCTTTCACATTTTCTAACACCATATTGCAATGTCTGTCAAATGCTTTTACACGTCCAAGAAGTTTTTTGTTATTGCGGCAGTTAATCAAAACCTGTAAACATGGTACCCATTAATGAAATATTTTAATTTTCATATTTTTGCACATTTTGAAATGAAAAGTAGTGATAGATTACACAATATCATGTTTATGTACTGAGATCAAAAATAATATTAACCCATACAAAGATGAAACTTATAAAAATATATATAATTAACTAACATGGAGAAGCTATAGTCAGTGGATCACCGATTTCAATAAAATGTTTTTGGTCATACTACATCGAAAAATATTGGACACTCGTCCAAGCGTTTGTTCCAATGAACCCTAGGAACAAAGAAAAAGAAAACAAAATTATATAACTTCAAACAAAATTTTTGATTTCGATGAAGATTTGGTCACTAAAACTGAATCTAATTTGCTTTTTCGTAACAAAAATTTACTTGGCCTATTTTTCTGAAAGTTCCTTTTGGGTTTTGTAATTTGTGATACATTACAACTCATTTAATAAGATACTCAATGTTTTTTTCTTATCCTGCACAAAAAAAGAACTCGAGTGATATATAATAATCTCAACAAAACAACAAAAGCAAAAATAAATAACATCAATATTGTTTGAAATTATATAATTTTTTTTTCGGCTCTTAGGGTCCATTGGAACTAATCCCAGCACATGTGTCCAATATTTTTCGGTGTATTATCACTGAAAAACTTTTATTGAAATTGGTGACACACTGACTGTAGCTTCCACTTAAAAGTATGACAAACCAACTATTTGTCATAAAGGCAGATTTACATCTAGTGCATAGAACATAGTTGCTAGAACAAAATAAATGAACAATGATGACTCCATCAATGTAAAATGTATACAATACAGCAAATAAATGGACAATGGTTAATATTATGCAAGATGGCATTTCCCAAAAGCAGAATCCTATTTGAGGGTAGAGTAAGGGTTTTAGGATGGTAAATTTCAGGATTATTACGCCCGTAAACTTATTTGAGTGTTTATAATCAACACTTAAATAACCCTGAACGTTCCTTGCCTATCAAATGTAAAACAGCCTCATTGATAGAAATTTAATATTGACGCTTTTGAGCTTTTTCGCACCTAATATTTGTGCATGAAAATTACAAGCTCATTCAACTTAGTAATTATATTAAATGCTTCGAACATAGTTTAATTCAAATTTAACATTGAGTTTACTTGGTTTCAAAGTCAAATTTTATTTATATGAGACCGAAAAATCAAAACAAAAAATTTGAAAATGATGGCCATTAAAAGAGCTGAGTTTCAGAAATGGAAAATATATCTTTATGCCTCCTATTAATTGCTAGTTCCCCATACATGTACCACTAACAACCCATGAAGGGTTTTGGGTTCAGTACGTGAGGAAGCACTGTTGCAAAGCCAACAGTTTTGCAGGGAGGTGACGGACCAATATCACGCTCAACCGCCAGCCGCCAGGTTTTCCCCATTAATTAATTAATTAACAATAGCTACTTAATTGAGGCTGGGTTTGCCCCAGGAGGGTTTCCCGGGTTCAGGGTCGACCCAATGGCAGATAAAAAATTACTAGTCATCAGCCGGATTCGAACATGGGGCCTTAAGCTCTGGAAGTGCTCACCCACTGAGCTACCCCGCTCCCTTGCTAGTTCCCAATAATTATAATTAATGTTATTACATGCCTAGGCCTTCAAAAGTTTTCTATAAAAATATAATAACGATTCATCTCTGTACAATATTTATCGAGTCATGGATAACGATAGAAAAAAGTTTTTATTTTAATAAATCAATCTCATTTCATTTTTTAACATAAATCCTACATGTCATTAGAAATACAATATAGAAATAGGACAAATTATGTATTTTCTTTTGATTTAACTTCATATTTACGATCCAGCCCTATTTTTATTAGCTTATTTGTTATCTGACAATAAGTAGTTAATAACAACTGATTCGGGCACAAAAGTGATTAACAAACTCTGCATTCCCAAGACAGAACAAATGCCAAACTCACGCTCCTACCCTTAGTGTCTCAGTCCATCCTAAACACCAGTTAACTAATGATAGAAATTAATCCAATAAGAAGATTCCATGATACTTTATCCAGCTCAACAATTTTTTATTCTTATTTCCATTGCCAGTAACAATGTACTGTAACTCCATTCTCTTCAATTGGGCAAGATCCCTTGTTCACGGTATAAATAGAATGCCCAGAATTGGCAAAGGGTTCAAAATATAACCTCCTTTGTTTAGATTGTGGTTTTCACTTCAGCAAACTCACTAAAACTTAAAATTGGGGCATTAATTACCTTTAATTACATTGCTGCTTTCAACTCCTGCTCCCTATGCTCGCACAAAAGTGATAACAAACCCCTAGTAGCCCTGGAGCCAGAGTCCAAAAATCGACCTGATCGCAGGCGAAGGTTTGATTGTAAATTACGAAAGTGTATGTTATTCTGAGTAAAAAAAAGCTTGTCTGCCGTTCCGGAGCTGCTGCTTTCAAAAATGGCGACTGATTTAAAGAATATTAAGCCAATAATTTGAGGATCGAAACGAGAAATCCATTGCAAAAAATGTGAGAAAAGTTTCTATTTTTTTAAACTTCTATATATGGGTTTAGACATGTAAAAAACAAAATTGCTAACGCAGGCCACCAAGGGAAAACTTTTTACATGCAAAAAAGTCAGATTTTTTCGATATTTTTGGGTTTTTCATCCGTAACTCCTAAACGATGCATCAAAGCGAAAAATGTATTCATTAATAAATTAAAGAACGTTAAATTTTGCTTCAAACGAGTATATAAACTTTAAAATTTGGTTACGTGGTAAGGTATAAAACCACGTTTAACCAACATTGAGTTTTACCAAATTTGTCAAAAACTGAGACAAATTACTATAAATGGCCCTGTAACTTAGAAATGAGTTCTTTAAGAGGAAAAATCCATAGAATCAAAGTTGTAGAGTATAAAATTTTGCGTATACTGAGTGCTGACATTTTTATTGTTGGCCAATTATATATCTTGAATCGGAATTCATTATTTCTTTATAAAATTCAGTATCTTTCAGCACATCGTTAACCAAAATCTTTTGCTGTTGAGAGGAGGAAAAGAGGCTTATACTGCATGTACAAACTTTAAACAAAACTAACTCAGTAGAATAGACACCCATAGTGTTGAAATATTGAAAATCAGGTTTACCTTCATTATCAATTTCTAACCATCAGGAGATTATCGTTTTTGTTCGCAACAAGTGGCCTACATTAAATAAGTTGATACTGAGTATATGCGAAATTTGATGTTCTACAACTTTGATTCTATGGGTTTTCCTCTTAGGGAACTCATTTCCAAGTTACAGGGCCATTTATAGTAATTTGTCTCAGTTTTTGGCAAATTTGGTAAAACTCAGCGTTGGTTGACCGAGATTTTATACCTTACTTTATACCGCGTAACCAAATTTTAAAGTTTATGTACTCGTTTGACGCAAATTTTAACGCTCTTTAACTTATTAAAGAATACATTTTTCGCTTTGATGCATTGCTTAGGAGTAATAGATTTTTTTGGCTGTAACAAGTTTTCCCTTGGTGGCTTGCTTTAGCAATTTTGTTTTTTACAAGTTTAAACCCATATATACAAGTTAAAAAAAATAGAAACTTTTCTCACATTTTTTGCAAAGGATTTCTCGTTTCAATCCTCAAGTGGAATAAAATTTTTACAACAGCACCCAACTGATTAATTACTGAAGAAGAAAAATAATAAGAAAATAATGTGGTACTCAAAATATGTACAATACAAAAGATACATTAAAAATCAGCTTAGTTTTTCTGATGAGTAACAGCTAGCAATATTAATTTTGTGTTAATTATAACAGTACCTGAGTGTTATTTTTAACAGACTGAGTTAAAACAGACAAAGGTCCAGTGTTAAATTCTTCTTCTTCTCTTTTAGCTAATTCTTCAGGAGTCATTTCTGACTTAGGTTTGGTAACAGCCCTGCAAAGTATTTAGAAAACTAATTTACCATATTTAATAAATTTATCAATATATTTTTATAAAAAATAGTGTATTTGGATTTGTTGGCTATCTTTTAAAAATATAAATAAATGAGTAAAAATGCTTATTAGTTAATCGCTATCATAACAGAGCTCAACGTCAATTTCATTATTAAATAATAAATAATTCATAAACAAGAACGAAAAACATGACTTTATCACAAAAAAAAAAAAAAATGTTCTTCAAAGCAATTAAAAATCTAAATCTTTAATCCACAAGCTTTAAAGCTTAACCAATTAAAATTCTAACATAGCTAATTCTGTCTATAGAAGAAATAATTATAACTAAGAGGTATTTATCAATTTGTATTAACAAAAAAAATTATTTAATTAAAAAGGCAATCTATCTGTATAATGCAATGAAAAAATAAATAAAATTAAGGAAAAAATGTATGTAAGTTGTTCAGCTTACAAAATGACTATTTCTCAACAGAGCATCTCAGTAACATTAATTAATTAAAACTTTCAAAAATTAAAAGAACAAAGCATAAAATTCAATAATATATATATGATGGTAACTAATTAAATAAAATCAACATAAATTTAGTAAGTAACTTACGCCATATTAAAATGTAAAAGATAGGATGTAGTTAAATCTTATATATAAAAAAGTGTTAAAAATTCTTTCAGTTAAGAATAAAATAAGTTGTTAAGATTCAAAAACCAAACACGCCTGTAACCTAACTCTACAAACAGTAGACAACAAACTCAAAACTAAGTGCTGCCGGCTATCATAGTACAAAGATGTAGAGAGCCACAAACTAAAACTTCTTGAAGAACAAATTCAATAATGCTTCCAGAGCATTTATTTATTTTTTAAATGAAAAATGAAATTATACTATTTAAATGTTTATCAAATAGATATCGTTTGTAGTGTATCAATTTATTAAGTGGAATTAAAATAACTAATAATTAACCATTTTAGACATAATACTATAAATTAAATTAAATTAGTTACATTTTGACATTGATTAAGTTACACGAGTTATGAAATAAATAAAACACACACAGATACGTATACAAATATAGAAAGATCCGAAAAAGGCTAGTGGTTAATGAAGCCAGCTTTACACTTTTGTATGCTGTACTAATCCGCATGAACGCCTTCGTTGACCGTTCCGCAGTATTCACTATAATGCCGTATATGTCACCTTCTGCATACCTTTGAGTGATTAGTAAGAGGATGAGTGTAACTATTTCTCCCGATGTATACTTGCTTAGCTTAAAACAAGACGATCAATCATCTTGCAGTCCCGAAAATCCTAGTCGCTGTAACGATGATTGAGTAGTATAACTAAACACTATCGCTAATTGGTTGAAAACTTAACTTCTTAAGAATAAAAAGGTAAGAGAATAAGAAAGCGCGGTCCAAATCCTCACCGAGATATACCTAATGCCAAATAGCGGTTCCTCAGAGATAACGGAAAACAGGATGTTATAACGACGAAAACCATAGCCCTATTTCTCAGCATTATTAACCCGTTTCTCATCCTCCACGAGACCATTGTAGGTATTACTTAGAACAAAGGAAATGATTGGATGCCATCAAAGAGATCTATACTACCGAACTACATGTAGTGCAGATTGGAAAAGAAAGAATTATGAATAAATCGGAATGAACGTGCAACTATGGCCTATAATAGAGGGGAGAGAGTCACAGTAAATGAATATGTATAAACTCCGAAAAGATCCTGGTCTTTCTGTCTTTCAGATTTTTATACTTTTATGGTTTTCCGGGTTATTTAAAGCTACCTCCCTCATAATTAATTTCTAGATCAACTCTTATTTTTAAATCTTTTCTTTTTCAACAACTCAATTTTTGTTATTTATATTTATCACAGCCCTCCGAGGCGTCTGAAAAGAAGATGGCCTCGAGATCTCCTTTTGTAAATACATTTTTAGAGTGCTAGCAGTGGGAAGTTTCTCAACAAGTGATTTCATGTTATTATATTCTTTTGTTCACATTTACTGAATGTATTTTTATTTTTAATACAGTTGTAAATATCATCAATGAAAATGAAAAAAAAAATTATCACATGAATTCAGCTTTGAGAACGAGCACACCTTAAGTCCCTGAAAAACATGTGACTGTCCATAGTTTCTATATGTTCCGAAAAGAATAGTATTAAGCTACGTATCTACTTGTGCGCTTATCATGCAAGAAATCTCAAGTTTAACTATCCGAGAATGAGTCTAGTTTTTCTTCGCTTGCAAGAACAGCTCTCAAGAGTAAAAAGTTCTCTACCTGAGATGTAGATTAAGAATGGAAATAGAGCGGTTTTTGACAATATATTCTAGGCAGGGTAAGAATTCTAAATTCGTTCCTATAATCTGCCGCAATTAGCATAGAAACAATATTAGAGAAAATATTGTTTCCAAATGGTCGTCCACTACGGTTACGTTGGATTGTTTGAAATTAGCTTAGAAACACATTATTTTTTAATATAATAAAATAAAATTTGGTTTTACAGAAAATGCATTTTTTTTTTTTTAATTTTATGTTATTCGTTGATGTATGTATCTTATAAAAATTTCATTTTTAATTTTCCTATCACTAATAAATTCTACCTATAAGCATTGTGTAATTTAAATGTGATTGAAAAAAAAAAAGTCAAGTTTGTTCATTTCAGCTGTTGAAATAGGCACTTGATTGAAGAAAATGTCGATTCTAAGAAGGTAAGTAAATAATTATTTTTAATCCTTTAGGAACTCCTGGTAGTAGTACTAACGGATCTAGTCTTTAATTAGCTCTTGGCTGAATTTGTTATTTTCGCAGTTCTTACCAACTCACTTGAAACAAATAATTTCTTTATGTCCACATGAATAATAAGATTGAATTTTAAGTCGAAATAATTATTTATATCAAGTGATTATAAATATTTTTCAACTGATTCATATTTTATTTAACACTATTAATAATATTTTAAAAAATCTAAGAAACTGGCTTATGATATCCATACCAAACAATAAACTAATCTTTTTAAAGTTAACTGTGAAGTTTAAAGATAATTAAAACAATACTCTGACAAAAGTCGATCAATAACTGATCAACACATATATATTGTAGGTGATACATATCATCTTTCTTCTTTCAATTGAACACCTTCAATGCTCGAACAAGACCTGATCATGACCCATATGCTTGTGTTGAAACTTTGGCACAAATAAAAACCTTAAAAATGACTGCGCCCTGACTATTCACAACCTTTGATATGTATAATAGTCGACTAACTTCCTTCAATAAAAAAAAAAAAAAACCTGTACCACTACAACCCATGAAGGGTTTGGGGTTAAGTACTATTTAGGGAAAGCACTGTTTCTAGGTTAACGGCCAAGTTTTTCCCCCTTAATCAATTTTTAAATTAAGGGTACTTAATTAACTCTTTCAGCGTGAGGAACAAGACTTTCGAAGAGGATGTTCGATAGTATTATGTATTCACATGAACGGAGGACTATACTTCGATAATTGCTGCACTTCAGTCAGTCTTTCTTATGGAGTGGATACACTGAGCCTTTAGTCTATTCGTTGAGCTTTCTTTCTTCTTTCAGATGTTGAGAATGAGATCCTTTCTGAGTCTATTTCATATTGACACATGGCCTTGATTAGCACAGCAGCTAAAGATGCTCCTTTTTATACACATATTCGAGTATATTAATGACTTCTCCTGTGATGCCATAATTGCAGACGTATTTGCCTATATGACAGAATCAAGGTTATCATAGGAAACACGTGTTGCTTGAGTCACGAGCGGATTTACGAGGGGAGGGGCTTTCGGGTTGAAGCCCCTCCCCCCAAAGAAATGGTAAAATATAACCATGTTTTATGGAAAAATATATTAAAAAATTATATCTTGAAAGTATTATTGTTCGTGTAATTACATTTAAAAGGACTTAAGGAATCTCTTAAACACCATTTCATATAGATAGTTAGTTTCTTTCTTTTTTTCCAAAGTAATTATCGTCATTTTTATGAAAAAAAAGCTTTCGGGCTGAAGCACTCCACCAAAATTAAATCGTGGATCCGCTAGTGGCTTGAGTAGATGAATGATTTATTTCGAAGATGATAATCTAGAGACGTATTTTTTTTTTTTTTTTTTTTTTGTCCTCCCTTTTCTCATCTCTTAGGCCATATATATGTTTTTTTAGATTCATACGAGAGTTAATAGCCCGCGTTCGGCAAAGAACGGGAATTCGTAATTATTTTATTCATGTTATCTTCAATATATCCGGTTGCCACCAACGCGTGTTCAAACCACGCTTTATCACACTCATCCTACCTCCATATTGTCCGCGTCTGGAGATTTTTCCGTGCCACTGTGTCATATGGGAAAGTATCACTAAGTACTATTTGAGAATTTATCAAGAATAGCAAGATATCACACTAATCCTCGAAAAGATTGTATTCAATTTAATGATGAAGCGTGCACTAGCTGCTACCTAACACACCGTTCATAATCGGCGATGACTTACAATCGGTGTCTATACACTTAGTAGTAGGTACAGAAGTGAACAAATCTTATATTCACATAGACCCGTCCTCCGCCACTACAGATATACTCGCACCTTCGCACACTGTGTCGAATAAATGTGTTGTTCTAGACATTGGTCAAAAAATTAAAATTCTTTGCCAACAAGGGAAAACTCAATTTTGCTGTCCTCAATGTGATTCTGCATCTTATATCAGAATTTCAGGTAATATGTTTTGAAATAAATACTATTAACAGATAATATTGACACGTGTCATTGATTGAATTTAGGTCAAAACAATTAAAAAATAAAAAATTAAGATGTATTTTTTTTACTCAAGTTAATTTTTTTTATAAATTTCGCGCCCTCTAAATTCTGCCGCTGGGGTAAGTGCCTGCTCTGTCCCTCCTTAGGTCTAGCTTTGACGTAATTCATCTATCAATATTTTAATTTATCGAACTCGGCATTCTATCAGTGACCATAAAATAAGAAAGAAATTAAATTGAAAATACTACCAAATATGTAACATTTGACTACAAAATATTCACGATTTGAAACTTTTAACTTTTTATTAAAACTAGTAGGCCCGTGCGAAAAATTCGCACAGCATATAGTTATCAAATGCCAAATTAATAAGAAAATGCAACGTATCAAAAGACTAAGACATAAAATGTTACTTTATCGATAAATATAATCCACAAAGCAAACAAAAATTAATTTAAATCTTCATTTTTGTTTGGAACCAACATGTATACAAATTCAGTAAGCTGTAGGTTTGCTAGAAATTGTCCGATTGCGATGATTTTTTTTTTCTTCTTTTTGTAGAGAATTTAGTAATCTTTTATATAATCATGGGCATAACCAAGGTAAAAAGTGTGCAATTTTTCAGTTATTCGCAAATAAAGTTTATTTTCTTTCATAACTTGTTTGCCTGAATTTTCTGGATGATTGGACTATTTTGCCAGCCTGAAGGAGAAGGAAGCCTTCGAAATTGGTGGCTCAATCTTGAGATTTGGTGAAAAATTAACGATGATATGGCTTCCCCATCAAAAACACCATCGATGAATAATATAAACTCCCCCTCTCTCGATTATAGAGACCTCAAGTCGACGAAATGAGGCATGTATTCAATGGCAGTACTACAATTAATGTGTGATGCGAACCCTATGCCTTGCGTTATCTCGAAAATAGTACGTTTTTGGGGTCAAAAACGCAGGATCCGATAGTTCCGGAGGAGTGGAGAATACGATTCGCTAACCCCCCGTGAAATTCTGAATCCAACGGTACCCCATTCATGGTATTTGAGCATGACAGGAGCTTATATTTGGTACAAAACCGATTTCGAGCCTAACTGTAATAATATATGTACGGATATGTGGGCATGTAATGATAGGGTTAGATATATCAATGTTCTGTTGACAGCGTTCCCATAGAAACGCGGTTTGGCTTTTTATTTCATTTTTCCCTCTGCTATTCAGTATATGATTCATAAATCCTCAGGATTTTCTCCTAATTCAATGTATCTATGACCGTTAGAAAGCTGAGTTATTACTCTTCAACACCATATCAATAACTTTTAGATTTGACGCATTTAAAAACAATAAATATCGAAAAACTCCCCAAAGGTTTTTGTTTTATATCTCTAGGTCTATTATATTTACAGGTGTCTGGTTTGTGTCTGTTCGTGTAGCTTATGTAGTCCTAACTTAATGTAAATTTTCGTGAGGAAACGTAAAGTAATTCTTATGTTACCCCACTTTTTGTGATTTTCGAAAGGAGATCGAAGGGAGGAGGCTTGGTTCCGATTTGGTGCAAAAAATTTTTTTTTTATTTCTATGAAAATTCGTATTTGAGGCTTTATAGAGGAGCGAAATACAAATTTCAACTCTGTTTTCGCTTACAAAAAAAATATTTGAACCCACTTTCCTCCGTCGGTCAGTACAAACTGTTTCAACGTCGTACTGATACTATAGCTATATGCCAAATATATAGTTATTTTCAAATGAAATGGGCTATGATAGAACTTTCCTAAAGAATATTAATCGAAAATGAGAAAAAATAAATAATGAAATGAAAAAAGAAAAATATTGAAAAAATTCTAATCGATTTCGAAGATTTTTTTTTTCCTTTTGTAGGGAATTTAGTAATCTTTTATATAATCATGGGCATAACCAAGGGAAAAGTGTGCAATTTTTCAGTTATTCGCAAATAAAGTTTATTTTCTTTCATAACTTGTTTGCCTGAATTTTCTGGGTGATTGGACTATTTTGTCAGCCTGAAGGAAGCCTTCAAAATTGGTGGCTCAATCTTGAGATTTGGTGAAAAATTAACGATGATATGGCTTGCCGATCAAAAACACCATCGATGAATAATATAAACTCCCCCTCTCTCGATCATAGAGACCTCATGTCGACGAAATGAGACATGTATTCAATGGCAGTACTACAATTAATGTAAGGTTGTGTGGATGCGAACCCTATGCCTTGCGTTATCTCGAAAATAGTACGTTTTTCGGCTTAAAACGCAGGATCCGATAGTCCCGAGAGAACTATTCGGGTCTTGCTGTACGCATCAAAATCTTCAAGATCCAATTTGTCCCGTATCGATCTACATACCTACCACCGTTCCAGTATCGATGCCTAGCAGAATGTTTGTATCGACTTTATTTATTTTAGGAAGAAAAACAAAAGTGGAGAATACGATTCGCTAACCCCCCGTGAAATTATGAATCCAACGGTATCCCATTCATGGTATTTGAGCATGACAGGAGCTTATATTTGGTACAAAACCGATTTCGAGCCTTACTGTAATAATATATGTGGGGATAATTAGTTTTACTTAAAGAATACTGATATATAATATTCAAATTTAATATTTCGTTGAGGAAGTCTATTGAAGTATTAATCCAATTGTCGTAAAATTCTCGCTATCTCGTGTTTTACCTCCTACCAACAATCAACAATAATGCTATATAGTTTAATATAATATCTACCGAATTGGAAATTGCAACTATAACGCACATTGGAAGGATTTCTCCCAGGAAATGAACGAAAACCTAACTTTTTTTAAAAGATAGATTGTTGTCTATTTTAGCTACCATGAAAGTATATTTCAATTTAGAAAATACGATTCAATTGAAACTATGCTGTAATAATTCGTATGCAACTCTTAATGGTTGGTTCAGTTCTAGATATTTGCATACAAAAAAG